GGTGCATTTTGGGTAAACTTGTCTGGAGCCGCAGGGGTTGACCAACGTCTAACAAAAAATAAACACAACAAAAGTTTCAATCTCCAAAAGATTGGAGAAATAAAAATCTGCTTCCAAAGAGGCTGACTAAACATATGGTGTGAGTTTACCTTTTTAATATTACAAGGGCTTTAAAAATATATATTTCAAAGGCATGAAATATACTGCCCTAAGCATCTGTTATGAGAATGAGGATGAAGAATGGCTGCTGAGAGCCACCAGAGAAAATAAGATCAGAATATGAAGAAGCATAGCAGTGACAGAGCTGATCTTTCATGGCGGCCTGTGGCAGACTCCCAGCCCTGCATCAGGCCTCCCTGTTCTGAACCTTCCTTTACACATAGCTGATGGATGATCTCATTTGCAGTAAATCTCTCCGTTGTTAAACCCAGTCATCGAGGCCTGTTGCCCCCACTGCGTAATACCTCAAAACCACGTCCTTGGAGTATTTGTTTTGTCCTCTGGACTCCTATGTGCACAGGGATCCAAGATCTTACAGGCACAGGATATGCACAAATCACAGGGCACAGTGTGGGGTAGAGCCAGGATACGATGCCAGTTTGTAGCAGCCACACGTTAATTCTAGGGTCACTGATGTGACCAGGAATTTTCAGCCAGTGGAAGAAAGCCAGAGTACCAAGAAGACCCCCCCCCCCCCCAGCTGAACCCAAATAAACCGTGGTTGGGCTTAACCCTAGAAACCCAGAGTAATGATGGAAATAACTGCTTGAAAACCAAAGATGGGTACAGTTTGCCTGTGCTGTCACGGAGTTAGGCAACTCCCCAGTGCTGGCTTTGCCTGCTTGCCCTCAGCTAAGCCAATCAGCCCACAGTGCACAGTAATCCTTCCCAGCACGGACTCTGAAGCCTCATTTTTCCCCCATCGCTAGTGACGGCTCCACCTGCTGAGCCACCGTGCCGCTCCATCGCAGTCAAAATGCAAAATAATGAATCTCTGCAGTGACTCCAGCGAAACCTTACAAACACCTGCGGCTGCGATGAATCAGCTAGGCTTGAAATTCATCATTTTTAAAGGAGAATGAGGTAAAGATATGTGGTAAATGGAGCGTTCAGTTCGATATAAATATCTCCAATGAGTCTCTCCACGGTTTCAATGGACAAAAGAATCATAAGCAGGGTGGAAAATCTACCCCTGTTTGTTTTACAAAAGATTTTTGACAGGGTATGAGCACGTTTAGAAAACTGAGCTGTTTCTCTTATTGTATAAGAAGTTTTAAAGTTTGGATTTTAGGTATAAAATTAACAATGACTGAGAAAGTTATTCTGTAGAAGTTCTTGCATTTAACACTTTTATTTGGGTCTGTTACCCAGAAGGTTGATCTTCTGATGGAATCAAACCAAACTTCAAGTAAACATGTCAAATATCTGCAGCTGCCCACATTTTCACTACCCAGTTACCTGGACTTTTTTCAGTAAGCTTGCCTTGAAATTTAAGAATTGTGTGAATAATTACTTTCATCAGCTGAGTTGTAGTACATTGTAAGGGTGTGTGATAGGGACACTTGTGCAGATCAGGTTCAAGGGAACGGGTTTTCTTTGGGAAGCACAAATCAAAGTCGGCAGTCTGAGTCGGAACCAGAAGGATCAAAACAGAATCCAAATCGGTAGGCAAAGACGGTGGTTGGGGGGCTGGCGAGAGTCAGGCAATGCTGGCGGTCAGAGGGCTAAGTACTACTCCGTATTGAATGGCAAATCAAAGGTTGGGGGATGTACGTCTGGTTATCTGAGAGAGAAGCAAAAACCGGTGTCTAAAGGAGCAAAAATGAAATGAGAAAGACCAGACAAGCAGGATAGAAATCACAAGGAAACTGCTCACACTCTCAGTAAGCTAGAAAATCTCTGTGAAATAGAGAAGTCTATTAGAGACTCCCGATCACAGCTAGGAAGGGGCACGGGCCCAAATGAGAGCCACCGTTTAATTAGGGTGCAGGCAGGATGAGGCTTCCCTTAGTGGGTGGGTATTGTGGACAGGAATTCCCTGGGGTCGTGCTCGTTGAGACGTAGATGTTGGCAGGGCTCCTCCGGGCTGGTCTCTGACAGAAAATGGTCTAAGAAGTTTTTTTTCAATCAAGCCAACAGTCCGCTGGAAGCATGACATCATGGATGCGGCTTACAAACTGTGACACCGTGAGTGTGGCCTACGATCTTCCGGCTCGCAGGCCTGCTTGGAGAGCTGGCTCCCGGATGGACTCTGAGTATGACCACAGTTTACATCTTGCTTTTATTAAATCAGGGACATTTTCCTGTATCCTATAATGTTAGCATGGCCGTGGGGGGGTTCGGGCAGCCAGTCGACCTTGGACCCCAAGAGATTGTTTTTAGTTCCACTCCTGTTTTGTCCTGAAACAGTCTTCCCCTTTTCTATATTTCATACCCCACTTTGAATTACGAATGACGTAGTAAGATGGTTGGCCACACATTCCTGTCAGGTGCTTTGGGATGACTATTTTGTGAAAGGTGCTGTGTAAAAGTAAATAGAACTGAACAGACAATAGATGTGTGTGCTAAATACGCTTAACGTTAAAAACACGTACATCAACTGTTTTAACAAAAAAGATAATAATCATCCTGATTATTATATTCAATGACAGTAAGCTTTGTGACTGACAGAAAGCTAATAAAAAAAATCCACACTAACCATTATTTAAGGCGTATATCTATGCTGTCTGAGTAGTCAATGCAACCAAGTCACCTCTGTGTAATAACCTGGTACTGAGAACATGGGCATTTTGGCAAAACGGCCCCCTCTCACCACTGTGTCTGGTACCTCACAATGGCGAAAGCTGATTAAAAACACTGCAAGTTACATATGAATAAATGACATGAAAAACAATCGGCTGAATGAGTAAACGTATTGGACCAAAAGCTACCCCCCCCGGCACACGTGTTTCCACCGCGGTACCGGCTATCAGTGTCACATCCGCACTGCAGGGTGACGGAAATTTGATTTTCGACGTGTTGTTCATCATTTCAGCATCATAGTTCCGGGACCATTAAAAGTAAATCTAGCATCACCGCAAGAAGAAGACTGATCTCCGATTAGCTGAAGATAAAGAGCCAACGATGAAATGAAGGTCTTTAAGTGCACTGCATAAGGAGCCTGCGATTGGCAGGGTCCGGGAAGGGGGTGAGACATTGCACAGCAGACTGTAGCGGTCTGGAAAAACCCAACTACGTCTCCCCTGTAACATAGCGAATACACAGGAATTCATTAACCCTAAAGTTGCAGCATAACAAATACTGTAATTTACACTTAAAAGAACATGACAAGGCTTTCAATATGGAAGGAATTTAAAGAAGTTAACCACTGATTTCCAGCAATTACAAGCATCCTACATACTTCAACTTCAAAAATATACTAAAATGAAAGGCTTTTTTTCCTTGCCTTATGGGACTTCAGTCCTGCTTCTAGGACCCTGATACACACTGTCCCAGCAGAGCACTTCACACCTGCACTTAATGTCTCCCATTGTTTTTGAAGGTCACTTGAGGTCACCCTCCGATTTATGAGGCACTGCTGGATAAGTTAGCGGTCATCTCTGGCATTTGAAAGTTGCTTCCGCTCTAAGCCTGGCTGGTATTTGGTCTTTTCCAGTGTCTCCTGCTTCATCTTGTCCTTGTTTACTGCTGTCTTAGAAATTTTAAGCCTGGAAGCAACCTGCCGTGTAGCCTTCTGCCAGCAAGACCAGGATTAAAGCAGGATTTAAAAATGCTGATTTCTAAAAAATACGGAGTGGTCTTTTAATTTTTCCAGAGCTGTGTCTGAATATTATTTATATAACTTATTAGGTTTTGTAGCCTGTTTGAATGATCTGAGTCCATATTTCTGTTTATGTAGTTTCACTGTGAAGTGATCATTTTTACCCATACATTTCACTAGTTTCCTCAAACATGGGACAGCCAGCTTCTTAGGGTGCAAGGATCCATCACTTAATCACCCTTAATTTGGTGGGCCGGCATTGCAGCGTGGTGTCGGGGCTGTAGAGGCGCCTCCGGAATCTACCAGCGCAGCTCGACGCCATTAATACCCTGAAACTAATTAGAGGGAGAAAAGGTGGAAGAATCCCATCTGAAATCCTCGCATCCACCGAAGTGGATCTTTAGGTTTAATTAGGACAGAGCCCCGCTTGGGTGGCTTACAAAACTTCAACACTTATATAAAATTACCATCCCTTTGGCATCATCTTGCAGAAGGGCCACATTCTGTATGGTGCTGCAAATTAATTATGACTTTCGAAAATAGTTCTGGATGCATATGGGATGCTATGAGAAATCTGGATTTTTTGCAATCTTTTGCAATGTCACTGCTTCCAGTGGATCTTGACTTATCTGGTCACGCTGTTCATCTGTCACCTGCATATCGCTTCTGTCGCATCCCGTGGGCTTTAATACCAAGGACGAGCCCGTCATGATGAATGACTGAAAGAGCTGTTTAATCTGTTTTGCAGCGTGTTTTCCGAAGGGGGGGGGGGGACAGAGTACTTAGCCAAACACCTGTCAGCGTGGCGTTTCAGGATGATAAGTGCACCTGCACATTGCTGCTTGGAAAGAAACACAGTAAACCTTCATAATCTGTTTTGTCTGTGTCCCATTCAAAGAAATGATATAGCACATTTGTTCTCAAAACTAACGACACAATGTGATTTCAGAGTTAAGTAAGACATAAACTGAAACCTGTTTCCCTGGGGGAGTCTCCACATACCCCCATTTAAAACAGCGAATTTAATTAGCTTTATTTTTAAATATGTGTGTACATTTTGATACTTCTCGTTTGTGACCATGTTGCACCTCTCAATTGCATTTTAATGCTGTTTGCACAGAACCAAAAAATACTGGCCTTTCCTATTTCAACACAAAGCCATGAGGGGGCGCACTTCTGGGGAGAATACACAGACCACGGCCAGAGTCATCCACCAGCTATTTGCCATTTCACCTCCAGAGCTATAAATACAGATAATTAGTATCTCCTTCTCTATGGACCAGGCAGCTGAAAAGTTGGACCGTGTGTCTCTGTATCATCACCCGGTTTCGAAATTCTCATCGCATTGGATAACAGTTTGTGTTGCAGGAGTGTTAGTCTGGATGGGCAGGATATATAAATGGGAGGGCAGTTGTATCCTAGCTGAGTTCAGCATTTGTTCTTTTACTGTCATTACTCTCCCATATTACTTTGTAATTTTCTGTCAAAGAGCACTGAGAGGTGTTCTCTCCTCTAAGAACCTCCCTTCTTCTCCTTGCCTGACGATCTGTAGACCATGAGTGGCCGTGACCTGGTTCTCCCCAGCCCTCAGTTTTGTCGGGATGTGAGGTGGGATCCCTCTCAGCACTGGCTCTCCCCGAGCCTCGTTTTCGGCCAGGAATTCGCTTCACCCCCATTCTCTGACACGGGTGACCTCACCTGGACCCGGCGGTGCCTGGGCAGTTCCTCCTGGCCTGGGTACACACTCTCTCACTTCCTCACCCCGTCCACTCAGGCACTGCTCTACCCAAGCTTCAGACTGCTGAAGCAGTCCTGGGCTGGATTGTCCGAGGTTAGGAGCAGCCAGGGAATGTGGACCATCAGCCTGGACGTCAACCAGTTCTCGCCGGAGGAGATTACGGTCAGGATGAAAGAGGGCTGCTTGGAGATTACAGGTACAATTCATTTACACGCCTGCTTCACAATTCTGTCTTTATTAAAACCTTTCGCACACCTGCTCAGGCTTTTTTTGCTCTGTTTATGGGACGAGACAGATGGGCCAAGGTTATCGAGGCAGGGGAAGGATTAAAGCAAAAACATCTCTTAATTAAATGAGGCATCGTGTTTGCTTTTTTCACTTTCTGGGGGCGATTCCACAAAGCAAGATTTCTGACTTAGCTGCAAGTCATGATTATCCAATAAGAGTTTAGTTAAGGAGCATTCCTAAAGGACAACCATGATCCTATTGGGCAGTCATTGCTTCTAGGTTAAGTTAACCCAGCTAACTGAGAAGCCTAGCTTTGTGGAACACCTCCCTGATATGGACACTCGTTTGTTTGCAGGGAGCCACGACGAAAGACGGGACGAGCATGGGTCTGTGACCAGGTGTTTCACCAGAAAGTACAAGTAGGTTTTTACGTGTGCACCGCCATTCACGATACTGTACGCATGATCAGATAATCTTAACCCTTGTCTTCTGTAGCTCTTTTCTATTCATACTCACCTTTCCATTGAACGTTTGCTAACTGCAGCCTTCCAGACAGCACTGACCTTGAGCAGATGAGGTCCTATCTGTCCGGAGATGGCGTGCTGTCTGTGGAGATCACATTGGCTGCTTCAGGAGACCTGGCCCCCCAAAAGACTGTCATACCTGTCCAGGTGAAGGAATAAACGTCCCGGGAAGCTTTCGCATTCTCCATCGCTCTGGATGCTGCTTGTTTTTTTAAATATGACTAACAGCTACGTTTTTTAAAAAGGAGAAATATCACCCTTTTAAACTAATCTGCAAATTCCCCGTTTTAGATTTCTGTTTCACTTTGAGTATTTCTTATAAGCACTTGCTGTTGAGAAATCTGTTTATCATCAGTTCTCTAACAGGTTTGGAGTTATTTGTGTTGCAGTGTATAATTTTTATAAACTCTTAATAGTCTTTAGGGGATTTGTAATTATAAATACAGATATTGCCTTCAGATCTGTTGTATTATCCAGTTGTTTATGTTCAGGTTCATTAGTCTGTTTTAAATGCCGCATTTTTATCTCTGTCATTTATTTATTTACCTTCGAAATGTGCATATAATTGGCTTCAGAGAAATACTTGTGGAGGGATTTGGCCCTTTTCACAGTCGTCTTCAAGGCGGAACAAGATGAATGATTTAAAACGATGCCTTGAGGCCGCCTTCACGTGTTCCTGCTCGTTAGGCCTAATGAGATATGCATCTCGTTTCTCTGCAGGTAGGAGAGAGTCCTGCGCCTCTGAAAGAGGAGGGCGAAGAAAAAGTGGAGAAGAAGAAGGTGGAGGGGACAGTAGAGGGAAGTTCCAGTGAGGACAAAATGAGTGAGGTCACAGACTCACCCACCGCAGCTACACAGGCGTCCGGAGAGGAGCCAGGAGTCGAGGAACCCCAACCTCAGATTCCCGGCGTTATCTCAGCCGAATCTCCTGGGGGGCAGCAGGGCGAACAGCCAGCTGGCACTGGGGAGGGTGCAGCAGGGCCCAGTGACCAGCAGGTCCCCTCAGAGCAGGTAGCTGGGGACCAGGATGTGGGGGGTTCGATCCAGAGACAAGAGGAGCAGCGGTCCTTTGGTGTGGAGAAGGATGACACCCAGCAGGAGGCCTGGGGACAACCGGAGAGCCCGGAGCAACCAGGTTTAGCCCAGAGAGAGCAGGAGGGGATAATCCAGAAGGAGGCTGCTCTACAGGCCTCTGAGGAACCTCCAGCTGAGGGTGTGGAGCCAGTTCCCAGCCAATCAGACACATCCCAGCACCCTGAGCTGGACGTCCTGGAAAAACAGGACGCTGAGCCAGCAGTGGAGCAATTCACAAAGTCCTAACTGCACTCAGGGCTTGCCAATCCACCTGCCGCCTCCACCACTATGGTCTGCCCTGCTACAGCCAAATGTCTTAGACTAAACAGCCCCATAGGTTAAAAGCATGGAGCTCCAATGCTTCTCTGGAGCACTAATAAACTGATGCGAATCACACTCCAGCTACTGAAGTGTCATTCATTTCCTGCTGTGATCTCTTTGGCTTGTCAGCTTCAGATTCCCGCAGAACAGACAATTAAAATTGACTTCTCCCATTAGAAGTTTGTTCTTTGTGATTTATTGTCTCCCAAGTCAGCTTTGTTCATATGACAGTGTAGCACAGTGATCCCCTTTTGATATCTGATACAGCTCTGGGCTCATTTTAATGGAAGTATTCCAAGATCCTGTACAAATCCTATATAGAGGGACATTACTTAAGATATTGTGGGCAATCATTTACACATTTAAAAATCAAAACAAAATCATGCACAAGTTTATTATAACTGTAAATGTTACATATTTCTGAAAATTCAGTTTTGGGAAAAGCATCTGTTTTTGGCAAATTACATGTTAATCATGAAGGTTCCCTTCTCCTGTCACATGTTCGGGTGGTGATGCAGCCCCTATCACATGATCTGTTGCCCAGTAACTGCTTCCAGATGCCACTGAACAGAGGAGAAAAGCTGCAAATGTGATGGTGTGCAAGTGAAAAACATTTTATTGCATGAACTATACAGAAACATCTCTCACAAAAAAACAATCATTCACTCTGCACAGAAAACAACGTAATCACAGTCCAGTAAAAAAGAAAAACAAAGCCAAAAATCCAATTGTAAGACCTCCACAGTAACTTGAACCAAATGGTCCACCAATCTGATCAAGAATATACAGTGTGTAATAACCTGAGCTGGTACACTTAGATCACACACAGAAATAAGGCAGAATTGCAACCATTACCATAAGTAAGATATACCGTAATAAGTCATAATAAACCCCACTAAAATATGAGCTTATACAGTGCTGAACTGTGTGAATGCTGCATGAAATTTATTGAAATAGGGACAATAACACAGAGGCAGAGGCCTGAAGAGGAGTCTCAAGCAAATGAAGCCTTGGCAGATTTCACAGGGTTGTTGCAAAGGGAAGGTGTCCATCTCTATGCCTGCGTGGATTGAGCCCAGGACCCCCCAGCATGCCGTCCTGCCAGTAGGGGGTGCATCGATTGCTGGTACAGAAAACTGAGGAGCCGCGGGCGAGACTGTGGCGAAGTCCAGACAGACATGTACTCATCTACTCAGCTGGGAGTCTCTAAGTGGGGGCAGTGACCCCCCTGCTAGCCTGCAGGCCCCACCAGGGGGCCCACACCGGCCCCCCCATCCCGGAATCAAGCCACGGTCGTCTCCTTGCTTTTGAAATCGGCCTCCGCTCCTCCGTCACTGGGATACTCCTCACTGAAGCAGTAATACGGGGGGGTCGGGTGAGCTTCGATTATAAGGACGCCTTCGGGGGACAGGGAGGCGAAAACCGTCAGAGGGTCCACATCACTGGGAATTCTGGAAGGATGGAGGAGAAGGCGTGTAAGTGCGTGACGGTGCAGAGGCATGACGTCTGCAAATGTGCAGGAAAGCAAATAACATGTTATTAGGCTGGGTGCAGGAAGGCACACTATTCCTGGGACAGGACAATCTTCTGGGACATTCCCATTAGTCAGTGACTTTGATTGATAGCCGGACAAACCCAGAAAAGGTAGAGGAGACGGAATGATACATGACTCAATAGTGTTTCTCCAAGTACAGCTTCTGGGTTTGTAATCTAAAAAAATATATATATCTCCAGAGCTTTGGCATACATTTAAAATGTACGCTCTGGTTTTCATTTCATTGAAACGTCCTAAAAGCATCAGCTGCTGGAGAAAGGGCCTCACTTTGGGTGAAAGATGTTGGAATAAAGTCAGACTGCAGCTACAAACTACTTCCTGACGTAAAGTTTATCACCCGGAGTTTTTCTAGCATATTCTCACATTTCTTTCCTAATTGGCCTGTATCCTCTCTCAGGAGGGAAGGTAAAAGCCAGGCAAGCTGATTCACATCACGTTCCCCCATATTAATTGCTTACATAAATAGGTTATTAACGTAGCATATTACGTTCACAGCAAAGATTTTCACCTTATGACAAAGCACTTATAATAAGACATTTATACAGGTGGCCTTCAGAATAATAAAGCCTGTGATGGTTCTGCTTGCTGATTACCTTCACTAACCTAACTACTGCACGGTTGCTTCTACTAACAAAAACAGAGAACACCAATGGGACAGTCCTATTTACCTATTTTCCCTTTACAATAAGGAATGCATGCCAATGCAGAAAGCCACCAAGGTCTAAATTTGTGAATTTGATAAGCACTTTTAATTAACTCTGATATATAATAGTTTTAATTGCTGCCATAACATGTCGAGCCTTTTTCCTGCTTCTCCAGCTGACGAGGCTCCAGCGGAGGCCGAGTAGGAGCCCAAAGAGGGCGCTGGGAGAGCTCCTGTGCTGCCAAGCAGAGCGAGTAGCAGCCGTTAGCTCACCGCTAACAGGCCCTGCAACTCAGCCGGCCGCTGGCAGTGCTAATGTATTTTAATGCCAGCTGGGCAGAATGAGGGAGGTAGGTGAGAAATGCCATTGTGCTGGCAGTTTTATTGACGTTTTTGTGAGCATACATCCTCTGTGTTTGGGGGGGTGGGTGTGGTTATTAATATGACTTATATTTACATAAAGCTAACATTACCTTCACAGATAAGTCATATCACAGGATTTAAACAAATTGAGACAGCTTCATCTATTTCTAAAGTAAAATTTTTAATCAATAATGTTAACATAAAATACTAATATTCCCCGTTTGGCCAGCAGGCGGTGCTGGTCATCCTGTCCCTCCTGTTGTCAGTCTTTGTGTTTTCCTCTGCTCCTGTTGGCCACATGGCTCAACACATGCAGCTGCCTGTCATCTCCTCTGTCTTATGTTTGAATCCCACCTCCTCTCATTTTGTAGATTTTGTTCCCTTGTGTTTCAGTTGTATCAGTTTTCTAGTCCCTGTGTTTTCATTTGTATCCAGTTTTGGATTTTGCCCTTGATTGTGTTTTTACCTGTCAGTTTTCCCCATTGTTAGATTCTGTTTCTAGTTTGAGTTTCATATTGTAGTTTATTAGCTTCACCTGTAGCCTGCACCCCCCCGATTGATTAATTGACTGTTTCACTCCTGCTTGTCATTACCCCGTTCAGTTTTTGTATTTAAGTTCCTGCCTGAGTTTTAGTGGTTCATTGTTTGCGATAGTTGGATGTTAGTGAAGTTTTGAATATTCTGTTTGTAGGCTGTCTTGACCGTTTTGTAAATTTAGTCTTTGTTTATCCCCCTTTGTTTTTGATCCCTCTGGGTCCTTTTGGTTTTTGTAGTGCTCTTAGTGTTTTCTGTTTCGTTTAATAAACCCCCGTCTGGTGAGCCGCAAGTGGGTCGTCCACCTTTTCTGCCTGTATCATGCCACGTCCTTGCTCCAAACCTGCCCAGATCCATAACACTAATTTACCATTCTTGAGATTTAACTCCCACAAATACACGCATCCAAGTATTATCTTCTAAAACTTTACTGCTCAACATAGCATTTTTTTTTGAGGATTCACATAAAAACCTCGGATCGCCGAGCCCAGATACCCGTGGCACTGGAATCTTCCTATAAATACATTATGCTTCGGAAGAAAGGCCTCAGTTTGGGACAGACCTGGAGAGAGGGGGGTGTGTGACACTTCGTCAGGCACCTAATAAGGCCTAGTAAGCCCTAATAAGGTCTGGCTGCCCCTCCCTGGAAGAGGCCAAGTTACCAGGGCGCTTAAATAAACTCAGGAGCAGTTTTAGAATTGATGTTCTGTCTGTCTAATTACCACGAGCCCTCTAGAATTCGCACGCGGAGTCGAAGGCCACAAGGAGGTATTACCCCAGGGGAAGGATGGCATTATTTTTGGGATCATCTGGAAATGAAAGGTATGTGCTACAATCTCACCTAAATAAGGTTTCAGAAAGTCAACGTCAGATAGCAAAGTTATCATCTAAAGTCACGTCGCTCGTCTTCCTTATTATGCGGCAGGTGGCAGTGACCTTATCTGCCCGCTGTGGGATTTTGTTAACCCCTGGCTAATTTTTTTTTAATCACTCGCATTGATTCTGTACCATTGTGCTGCTTGACAGACAGGGGAAGCAGTCCTGCCCCGATAGAGAACAGGCCTCCTGGCACACCCACGGACTCAACGGCTGGGGCCACTACGATCACTCGCTCCGGACCTCAAAGCCAGCGGCATGATGACTTGCCGGACAAAAGAGTTTTATGCCTGTGATTCACTCCAAAAATGCAATTGCTGCTGGGGGAAGTATTAGGACACTGCTGTTGTACCATTGAACTAGGCCCTTAAGTCACTCCAGTGGTTCAACCTGACTAAAAGTGAAACTGTAAGTCACTGCAGAAAAACAGATATGAATTGTCAGGTAAATCATTTACCAATCAGATTCTTTAAACCAGTTCTGGCTACATCTCATACCAGTTTACATGTTATTCCTCCTCAACTGAAAGGTGTGGTTAACTGGATACTTCATGGCGTTTCAGCTGGCAACATTTTGGTTTTCTGCTAAATGTTCTTGCCAGCCTGTTGATGTTCTCACAACAAGTGACTGTCCCAGTGCTTTCATTTTGAAAGGAGGGGCCTGGCCCCTCGCACTGCTCTGGGATTGAAGGTCCCTGTTCAGTGCACCATGTGAAACACAGACAACCCCCCCAGAAACAAATTCATTTTGAGAGGCCAGTTAATTATTTCTATCCCTCTGGATGTTTTTTTTTTGTGACAGTACCTGGAAAAAGACTGTATCAGTTGAGATGAGCACAGACCAGGGGGTGTAGAGCAGATGCTCTATAATGATCAAACAGGAAATTACCAAAGTTGGAGAAATGGGCTCGAGATGACACCACCTACAGTGAGGATTAACAGCTCTGTTTGCTGTTCCAGTGCGATTAAAATTTAAAAACCGGCCACGTGGAAACGAGTCTGTGTCTGTGATCGACTGGGAGAGATACAGAAATCTCACTGCTGAGCTACAAGATGCTGTACATAATTAGATCATCACACTATCCTTCAGCTCCATTCCATTCATTTATGTACAGCATCTTTCCAACTCAGACACCCCATGGCTCTCAACAAAAAAGACTGGTTGTCTTAGGGAAACAAATTACATAGCATTTAGCATAAACAAAAAAAAAGCTGAAAGACTTCAAAGGAGAGGAATCAAAAACTTGAAAAGACAATCCAGAGAGTCCCACATCCACGCATCGGGGAAATTGCGGATTTGGACCCTAAAATTTGTTTACTCCTGACTGTTAAATGTCATGCCTGTCAACTAATTTTGAGTTTTCCCCAAAAAAAATTCACATCTTTGATTGGCTGAAGTGTCAGTCTCAGCAGGTTTGGCTGAAAGCACAAATTCACGTCAGTGTGCTTGGGCCACAAGCAATATGGAGCCAAAATCAAACTTTTGCAAATTAAACAAAACATGAAATATCAGTCACAAAAAACAAGATGAATACAACTACTTTTATGAAGTAAGACTCTTCATTATGTTTATCAGACTACCAGTGATCAAATGAATTATATCCAAATGGACTATATTTTAATATAAGCACAAATAATATTGTGACTTATTGATATGTAGATTTGCCGGACCCCACATGAAATTTATTTCAGGCTACTGCCCTGAGTCCACATGCTGGTCTGCCAGGCTGGGCAGTAGAACCTGACGTGTCATATTATAATGTAAGTAGGTTTTCCATCTAATAGTGCTTTGCCTCTGCTATCAAGAACCCAGCTGTACGCAAGGCAAAATACGAACTGATGGTTTTCCATTGTGAATTATGCGAGCCGTATCTGAGCCGTAACCATCTCGACATAGGCCTGATTAAAGGCTCGTTTATACTTCCAAAGTAAGTATAAGTACTGTGTAGCCGTGGACCCAACCCCATAGCCTGACACGCACCTCCCAAGAAATGCAACTACATGTTGCGGCGACACAAGAAGTGTGATTGGTCCGCTTGGTAGCATCCATTTTTTTTATGGGAGCAAACAAAGTGTACATCCCTGACTGACACTGAAACACTATTTGTATCTAGAATTAAATATCCCATCCTAGGCATCGTTGCAAAAGGTCTACAAAGCACTCAGAATGACCAGTTTCACTTACCTCCATTAAGTTAATTCATACTTTACACGGCTAAAAAAAAATATGAAGTAGTTCAGACATTAACTTTAGAAGGGAAAGTGCACTTTGTAGCAGTTCGACATATTTCCAAATTTGTGTATTAGAAGTTTGGAGCAGCACAAATGTAACCAGATAAATTGATACTTTGTTAAATGTTTGGTTTATTCTGTTTCAATTGCATGATTGAAAAGTTGAATATATTGCAGGGTGGCAAGACAATAAATGCAACATCCAAAACTAGCTGTATCGCCTAGTGTTTTAGCAGTGTAATTGCAGAGCAACACAGATACACTGACGCACAAGTATAAATGCTCACGATGGCATAGGCCATTTGCGTTTTACTAGCAGGGCCGAAATCGTGACTAATAGCTTTTTCCACTGACATGCAGGAACTGAGCTGTACCTGAGCTGTTCCGCAATGGGACTAGTTACAGCGAGATTCCAGATCCCTTCAGCTTTCTATTGCAGAAGAGTCAGCTTGGTAAAGGCGCTGCCGTGTTTGGAGAGCAACAGTTACATAAAAGCGAATGGAAGCTTATTTACTGTTCACGCAGTGTACATCATTATGATGTACTATGTGCTAATTTCCACTATCAAGTCTCTGAGAATCACCTTCTTGCGTTACCATCAAACAATAGTGAAATTACCATTTGCTTGCGTAAATTTGCATTACGAATCCATTCTGTTTAGCTGTTCTGCAGTACTTAGTTTGTGTAGGTTGCAAATTGGAATGCATCAATACATCACGATGTGTCATACTACTAATGATATATATGGTTGGTTGAAATACATGGAGACATCGGTTGTTATGCATAAATTATTTGAAGGGAAAAAGGACGTGTTCTATATATTATTAAATATTAGTAGTATCGCAAATCACAATGTATTTCTGCATTCCCGATAGCTCAAAACTTAAGGAAGTACAGTGGTACATCAGTTCTCAAACTCATTAGAACTCGAATTTCTTAAAAGTTTCCCTAACCCTAACCCTAACCAACCATGAGTCACGTGGCACGTCTCTCAGCGGAAACAAAGGGTAACGCTTCAGTCTCAGCCTCGCGTTCGCGGTGATAGCATAGACAAAGGTGCAGACGGGGAATACGGGGTTTAATTACAGGTAAGGCAGGCAAAACGCAGACGGAGAATACAATGACCGGACTGGGGAAACAAACTGAAACGCGGACGAAATACAAAGGACTAATAACAACAGCCAGAAACAGCTGATCACATGGGGATTCCACACAGGGTTAACGAGGGGCGTGGCACACGGAAGGAGCGGACGATCGGGGCAGGACACATTGTTTTACACATTGTTTGGATACATTTATTTTCTTACTTTAAAAATTACTGTTTTGATAAATGTGCTTAGATGTGTTTAGTACAGTATATGCTTTTCTTGTTTTGTCCGGTTCATTTTGCGTTTAAATGCTAAAAAAAAAAAATATTTCGGTGTATTTTTTTGGGGCCAGGAACCAATTAATTGGTTTTCCATTATTTCTTATGGGGAAAATTCGATCAGAACTCGAACTTATTAGGATTCGGTCCGGAGTCCTGAACAGATTAAGTTCTGAGGTACCACTGTACTATAGAACAGCTGAACGGAAAGGATTCCTAATGCAAATTTGTGCAAATTAATGCTAATTCTATTAGCATTTGAAGCTAATATAAAATGGCGATTTTCATAGATGTGCTAGTGGAAATTAGCACATAAAAATCATAGGGTGTTTCTCAATACAAAGAACACAAAGATCCTATTTGCAGTATTGGCAAGACCAGTCTTGTTAACTTGCCTTCCAAGAAGAAACTTGTGGCTCAATGAATCATGGGATTGGTGTGCTTTGGTAAGGATGCAACTGATGTATTCTTAATATTTGGGGTGGGGCAAGAACAATATCTGGGGATTTTTACTGCCCTCTGTACTTCTGTTCTTGAGTATTGGAAATGGTCTTTGGCAATGGAAAAAGATGTCAAACAGCTGCACGAGAACACAAGTAAGGTCAAGTACGCATATTGAGATTCAATCTTAGTCCAAAAACTGAACCACTGTGTATGTCCTCATGAGCAGAAATCCCATCCTCTTCCGATAAATAAACAACCACTAACCAAGTTATTACAGCGAATGAGCTGGTGATAATTAGTGTCTTTGATCTTTCATTCTAGGAATGAATCATACTTACTGAATTTTTTTGGTGAAGTTCTTGGTTACAATGCTTCCCTCGTTTTGCTTTTCTTCATGTTTTCCTGCACAGAAATCAAAAAAGAAAGGAATGTGAACAGAAATCTAAATATTCAGTCTCTCTAGATAACAAGGGTGTAACGATTCTCCAAATCCACTGTTCGGTTCAGACCTCCATTTTTGTGTCATGATTCGGTTCATACCTCATTTTTTGTTGGGGGGGGGCAAATAAGGGAACATGGAAAAATATGGAAAAACACTCAAGATCAACTTCATTTCAGGTTAGGGCTGTCATGATATCAAGTTCATTGTCATGGTACGATTATGGGCAAAAGGATTCACGATGACGATATTATCGCGATATCTCTAGAAAATCTGAACAAAATAATTCTAAAATTGACACCAATTAAATTCTTCTTTACCTTTGTTTTGGGAAATGAACTATCCTCAAAATAGTGAGTGTAGGGAGGTGGAAATTCTGCAATCATAAACGTATAAAAGTATAGGAAAACAACACTACTTAATGGACAGTGAAAGGACATCCAGGCTGAAGCCCCCGTTTGCGCTTACTGTTCATCGACAATTCCTGCAGACTGGGGTCTTTATCACCCCATCTTTTTCACAAAATCCTGTAGTGACACCATTGATTTTTATTTTAACATCAAGTTAATTTTATGGACTGTGTGTAAGAGATCTCCAACAGCCCACAGTGGGATATTCCACCAGATATTTTGAATTTGGATTCTTAGTGTTCTCTGACTGTTAATAGTTAAAAAAAAGTAAAATAAAATTACATAAAAGTTCTGCATTGCACTTTTTTCTGAGTGCTTGTTTATGGGTCTCGTTAGGTACCACAGTTATGCTGGGGTGACCATATGTCCGAGACGACTGTTATGCTGTAGCAAAGTGAGTACATTATGCCAATAGGACAAAATACTAGATTAATTCATGTTATTTATTTTTTCCCACTTATTTCTGATCACACTGATTTGGAGTGATATAAATATGAATCTAACAAAATACACCAAGCTTAATATTTTGTTCAGAGTGACAGTACTTTGTCCAAAGCTGACTGTACGCCAAAATACCCTGTCCCTGGACAGCAATTTAAACTGATGGAAATACACTGCTCGAAAAAAATTAAAGGAACGCTTATTAATCAGAGTATAGCATCAAGTAAACTAAACTTCTTGGATATTCATCTGATCAGTTAAGTAGCAGAGGGGGTTGTTAATCAGTTTCAGCTGCTTTGGTGTTAATGAAATTAACAAGAGGTGCACTAGAGGGGCAACAATGAGACGACCCCCAAAACAGGAATGGTTTAACAGGTGGGGACCACTGACATTTTTCCGTCCTAATCTCTTCTGACTGTTTTTTCACTACTGGTAGCATCAGGCGATACCTGGACCCTACAGAGGTTGCACAGGCAGTCCGACTCCTCCAGGATGGCGCATCAATACTTGCCATTGCCAGAAGGTTTGTGGTGTCTCCCAGCACAGTCTCAAGGGCATGGAGGAGATTCCAGGAGACAGGCAGTTACTCTAGGAGAGCTGGATAGGGCTGTAGAAGGTCTTTAACCCATCAGCAGGACCGGTATCAGCCGTTATTGTGCAAGAAGTAACAGGATGAGCACTGCCAGAGCCCTACAAAAGTTGGCCACTTGTGTGAATGTCTCTGACCAAACAATCAGAAACAGACTTCATGAGGGTGGCCTGAGGGCCCGACACCCTCTAGTGGGCCCTGTGCTCACTGCCCGGCACCGTGGAGCTCGATTGGCATTTGCCATAGAATACCAGAATTGGCAGGTCCGTCACTGGCGCCCTGTGCTTTTCACAGATGGGAGCAGGTTCACCCTGAGCACATGTGACAGACATGAAAGGAGAATCCGTGGAGAACATTATGCTACTTGTAACATTGTTCAGCATGACCGGTTTGGTGGGGGGTCAGTGATGGTCTGGGGAGGCATATCCATGGAGGGACACACAGACCTCTATAGGCTAGACAACGGTGCCTTTACTGCCATTAGGTATTGGGATGAAAGCCTTGGACCCATTGTCAGACCCTACACTGGTGTGGTGGGTCCTGGGTTCCTCCTGGTGCACGACAATGCCCAGCTTCATGTGGCGAGAGTATGCAGGCAGTTCCTGGAGGATGAAGGAATTGATACCATTGACTGGCCCCCACGCTCGCCTTACCTAAATCCAATAGAACACCTCTGGGACATTATGTTTCGGTCCATCCAACACCACCAGGTTGCACCTCAGACTGTCCAGGAGCTCAGTGATGCCCTGGTCCAGATCTGGATGGAGATCCTCCAGGACACCATCTGTTGTCTCATTAGGAGAATGCCCTGACAATGTCAGGTATGCATACAAGCATGTGGGGGCCACACAAACTACTGAGTATGATTTTTGAGTTGCTGCAATGAAATTTCGGCAAAATGGACTAGCCTGCTGCATAATTTTTTCCACTTTGATTTTTGGGGTGTCTTTGAATTCAGTCCTCTGTAGGTTGATCATGTTCATTTCCATCAAACGATGTGGCACCCTTTCATTCCTAACACAATAGTGACAATACTCAGTCCATATCAGCATAGATATCTAGTATGATTTTTTCCCCCATTGAGATCTGATGTGTTTTCAAAGTGTTCCTTTAATTTTTTTGAGCAGTGTATAAACTAATATTTATGATAAGGGATTTTTAATTAATACTGTTTATCCAAAACTGTAAACAGTATTTAAAATAACAAAGAAACAAAAAATCTTTTCAGTAAACGAAATCATTAACACCAGTTGTCGCTAAACAATAAAGGGACCCGTTTAATTTGTTGTAATTGTAAAGCAAGTGCTTTACCATAAAGTGGCAGGATATTTTTATAGGATGTTTCGCTTATTTGACTTTTGATTTGAGAGGGAATAACTGCACCCCACGCGCACAGAAAAATCCACTTTTTGGCCACTTTTTAGATGTTTCTGGCCCTTCTGGACCAATATGGCAAGTCTGTCTTTCAGTTTGATGCAATTAATAGGTGTCGAAAATACTGAATTGTTACATGTTTTCGTAATCAGCAGCTTATTATGGATGAGAGCAGCACATCTATTAGGAATCCAAATCATATGGCAAATCAATTACATACTTATGATACTACAATCGGCGTCGTATTCTAAAAAAATATCAGAAATACAGTAATTTCAAATTCGGTACAATTAATTATATCTCACTAGTGAATCACTTATATTACTGCACATTTTTTACTTAACAATTAAATTTATTGTTTAATTGAATCCACGACGATTCCACTCCCAGTAGTTTCATTAACATGGCATTAATGCAGCATTATGACACACTCTGAATTAGGATTATTACAACGATAATCACGGCAGAATTATCAATCTGGCGGGTTGAAGCTGTTTTATTCAGTACCTGTTTCAACAAACCAGTGCAAAGGCCAGTTTGCTGCAGGAAGTGCTGGTGAGCTATATAACCTTTTGTTACAGATTAACATTAATTTGGCGATTTCCTTAGATTTGCAGTACAGCATGTGACCCGCCTTTCGATGCAGCGTCAACATTCACTGCGTTTTACATTATAACTGTTTACTTAAACATTATTAACTTTTAACTGTATACCTTTTAATATTATATATATATACTGGAATGTGAATCAGATACTTGGCGCGGGATTGTTTATGACATCATATGTGTATTATCATCATGATATCGATATTTCATGTTTTTTTTATAACACAGTTTCCGTCATTACCAGCATATCATGACACCCCTACTTCATATAAAATAACTATGTACGTTTTTTAACACTTACAGCTGCGTGTGTTTTGTCTATGACACGAGTGCCATTCCTGCACTGCACTGGATAACCGAGATGTTCCCACACAGCTGACTTGCCTGTGCCTAGGCGCTCTGCGATCTCAAGGTCATTATCTATCTTGAGCTATGGAAACTAGCATAGCTTTTACCGCAGGCGCAATCGATCATGATTGGACCAAAATACACACGTGACACATGCAGTTGGAACAAAATAGATGTAATATGTAATATTTACAAAATATCCAGCTGGTCTTATCTTTAAGTAGATTAACAATTTCGTGATTTGCATGTGTTATAGTGTTAATTGTGACATGAAAAAAGGAGGGGGTGGTTCTTTAATTGGAGTTCTTAAATGGGCCAGCCCAACAACCAGCAACACACACGCACACATGGTGAGTAACTAGACATTACACGATCAGACAGGGACCAAGTACAAACAGGCACACATGACAATCGGGTCCACAGTTTAGGTATTTACTTAACAAGGACAAGGGGCTATTTACACCCCTCCTGGCTATTGACACCCCTCCTGGCTATTTACACCCCTCCTAGCTATTTACACCCCTCCTAGCTATTTACACCCCCACTATGCGGAGGCATCTAGCCGGTGCTACAATACATTTTGCAATCTTCAGAATAGTGCTGGGCGATATACTGGTTCTGATGCTGGCTTTAATTTACCATACAATACGAATTTTTGATATATCGTCATACAGTTGCATAGCTGGAACAATAGCTGTAATGCTTCAATACACAGCAAATTATATAACATTGTTCGCTGATAGTAATGCTACATGCAGAGTGTATTGAGAGGGGACCCCTTTTAACCATGCGTAACCTTCTTACTAACCGTTATAATATTACAACACAGCAATTCTCCATATATAATTGTTCAGCATTACAGTATTTATAGCTACTGCTTCAGTCTGTGCCTAAAAATGTGGATTACGTGTAATATACTTAGGTCTGCAGTTAAATACATATGGGTAAAGCAAAATCCCTAATGTTATCGATTAATCACAGTAAAAATTATTAGGTAGTCTCATTTGTATGATATTTGCAAGAAAATTGTGTGTCACTTATATTGTTACACGTACAAACAATGGGTGGAGTAGCTTTTTCAAGGTGATGTTGTGCTCTGCACCCATTGGCTTACAGATGTAGGGCGTTTCAAAACTCAAAACCACGCACGTGTGTGCACTCACGAGCAAAGAACCCAAGCTCACGTCTAAACAACACTGGCTCCCTCAATAGAATGAGTTTTGAGACTTTGGAGGCGGGAACAGTGGTTGATATCTCCATTTCTTTGATTGGTCCCTTTGAATCTTATGATTGGCTGAAGAAGAACAAGATGATAACTGACCAGTAGATGAGAGAACAGCCAGTTTCACGCTCTGTCATGATGTTGGAACAAGGAAGTCTTACACTAAGTTAACATCTTTCAGAGATCCTATTTTAATGTTACATATTGAAGATGGTAATTGGAATCATACGTGTGTGTACTTTAAGCAGCAATTGAAGGTTGGTGCAGGATTGCTGGAATTTCCAGCTTCATCTTACTGTATGTAAGTCACTGCAGAATGGGCCACTGTACAGTAAACTGCATTGTGAACAACAAGGCATCTTTCTTCCTACAACATCACAGAACCAGTTTAAATCCTGGGAGCAGCGATCCCCTGATACAAGTCATATCTCGGGCTATTGTTAGAACTGACAAGTTGGGTTAATATCGCACATTCAGTGCACATTCACAGGGTAATGTTGTCCAAAATGTACAGCATTGATATGTATTAATTTTTGTTTGGAGTATAAAGCATATGCACAGAACATGGAAATGGAATAAATCATAGGATTAAGCATGTTGTAACATGCTAAGTATTCAGATAAGTGATAGCTTTCCAGCATTTTTCATTGCCCATTGTACAGTTCTCCATTGCAGGCCTGATGACTTCTATTAGTCTAATAATTGAAATCAAGTTCTTTATTGTGGATGCAGTGGCAACACGATCAAATTCTTAGCGTGTTTACATCTGAATGGAGACACACTTAAAGCGATAGTAACTAGAAGTATAAAAATGCAAAATATACACGCTCGTAACAGTACACACATATACTGTATATTATCATACAGATATTACATTATTAAAGTTTGGCAAATGGTTGTCCCTTTGACTCAATAAATTTATGTTGTGAACATCAGCAATATCTTCTAATGTTTTTGTTTTGTCAAGTGCCTGTTTTGAAAGGCTATTTATTTATTAAAATGTGTGTGTATATATACAGTGCTTGAAGTGGGAAAAATGGTGCCAATACTCCCCTTATTCATGCTGGTGTGTTAATTGGCCAGTATCACCAAATCATTAAGTATTACATTCCGAATCATATATGTATGATTCCGATTACCACCTCGAACAAGCAATATTAAGAAAGGATTTCTGAAAGATGTTACCTTAGTGGCTGCTTGAACATGTAGAGAGGAAGTGATTTCTGCTCATGAGCACATACACAGAGGTTCAGTTTTTGGACTAAGGGTGAATCTCAATATGCGTACTTGACCTTACTCGTGTTCTCGTGTTCTCGTGTACCCGTTTTACATCACCTTCCATTGGCGAAGACCAGTTCCCTGCTCGCGAGTGCGTAGAGAGGATGGGTTCCCTCGCGAGTGCGTAGAGAGGATGGGTTCCCTCGCGAGTGTGTAGAGAGGATGGGTTCCCTGCTCGCGAGTGCGTAGAGAGCATGGGTTCCCTGCTCGTGAGTGCATAGAGAGGATGGGTTCCCTGCTCGCGAGTGCGTAGAGGTGATGGGTTCCCTGCTCGCGAGTGCGTAGAGGTGATGGGTTCCCTGCTCGCGAGTGCATATGAACACATGGTTTTTGTGTGCGTGGGTTCTGAGACTAATTAAACTTGACACTAATTAGACTTGCCTGTCAAGTCTAGTAAATACACATGATTGTGTGCGTGTCTCGTGTTTTTCGTGGGCTCGGGGGTAGGGACAGAGTAGCGCTAGTTGTTGAGGGGGAGGCAGGTATGGGAGTGGGAAAAAGTAGGACAAACAGATTGAAAGAAGGATACCCAACAACTCGCCGGACACAGGGCTGGACAACAGGACTGTCCAGATGAAACCCAGAGGAGTGGTCACCCTAATCACAGTACTCAGATGCTACTCCTCACTTTAGTGCCAGCTGACCTGCTGTTTTCATACTTACATCAGTGGACAAAATTGTGGAAACGCTTCCAAGTTTTAGAGATTTCAGTGCTTTGTTCAACTGCTACTTATTTAATCATCTGATGTATGTGATGCCTGTAAACTGAATGAAGTTCTGCAATCTCTAAAAACTGGAAGTGTTTCCACAATTTTGGCCACTAGTGGACGTAGCGACGCCTTTAAGGTCAATGTTACAGAAAGTGCAGCTTCAGGCTTCTCTTCTTTGACAGAGGCTTAAGCTCAGCCACACATCTCCATACCTCAGCTGCTTGCCCCCCCCCCCCCCACCCCACCTGTTGCTTCTAAATGTCAGAAAGCCCCACCTCTATGCTGGCATGTGATTTGCAATACTAACTCACCATGTGACTTCTTGGAGAAGGTCCTAGAAAGTAGATCCACAGAGAATACAGGCGAGGAGCAAATAGGGTCTGTCTCCTTAGTCATTCAGAATACAGGTTTCAAATTGCAGAATGCATGTCTAACGTCTTACGCTTCCTTGCGGTTGCAAAACATGATTTCCCAGCTGCAATGTTCACCTAAACATTTTGTACTGTGGTTATTTTCAGATAATAAGCACTCTAAAAATAGGCACTGCAACACAAGTTTGCACATTCGGGACACATCTCACTGAATTTAATCTGATTGTATAAACATCCAAAAAACCTTAATGGTCCTATGTTGGCTGCTCATGGCATTCCATTCCCACCTCCACTTCCAGGCTTGGTAGATTCCAACCCAAAAAATATACATAACTGTTCATACTCTGGGTATAGACTTAGGTAAAAACAAAGAGGAGATATCACCCTATGAAAATATTGAGAGTATTAAAATGTACTACATACTGTATATTGTACTGTAGGGGTTGAAATAGGTACATCATCTAATTATCCATATTGCTAGTTGAATCTATCTATCTATCTATCTATCTATCTATCTATCTATCTATCTATCTATCTATCTGTCTGTCTGTCTGTCTGTCTGTCTGTCTGTCTGTCTAAATTCGGTTCAGCTTTAGATAGTACCTTTCTAATAACATATTCCCACCCAGCAGTATGTAACAAATACTTAGAACAGGGGTAGCTAATCTTATCCAGAAAGGGCTGGTGTGTGTGCGGGTTTTCGCTGCAACTGCCTAATTAGATTACTAATTAGAGGACTGATTGGCTGAAAGAGTCCTCACACCTGGGTTTGAACAGCTGACCTACAGGTTATCCCAAAAACCTGCATACACACCGGCCCTTTGTGGATAAGATTGGGTACCCCGACTTAGAAGAAAGGCATCAGACAGACATACCTGTCCTTACAGTTATACAGTATTATAAGTCAGAGCAGGACCCAAACTCTCCCACGTTAGTTATAGCAGAAAAATACTGATCCAAAGAGGCTCGTCTACTTGGCTTTAAGCCTCCAAGTTTGTAGAATATTCTGAGCTTCTAGATTGTTCCCTTTGTGTCTCACTTAAGAAGTACACTCTGTGTAAAGGGCGCACTGGATTTACATGTGTAATATAAGGCTGAGTTAATCAGCAGCCGACCAGGCTCTGTAAAGACCTGTGGGCTCCTCCTGGTATGTATTAAAAGCACAGCGTGGGCCTCTCGCTCTCACTGCTGAACTGCAACCTACAACCTTTTTACTCAAATTGAAAACCCACTGGACAAAATCCAAAGTATTACGGATTCATCAGAAAATATAAACATGTATATAATCACATATAACTGTAAGAAACACATGCCGCTAACTACTGCTCTGAAGTTTTCTAATGCTTATGCAGCATAGTGCTGATCAGACAGTTACCTCTAATGAGCTCCACCTAAGACAAATAAAACCATTATAAGCACACTGTCTCTGAGATGCAAGTTATTTGATCCCCCAGTGTCTCAGGTCGGGTCTGAATGAAACATGACAGTAGAGCAAATGAGCAAAGCCAACATCACCCCAGCAGCTGATTTTAGAAATGACAAAGCTTAATTTTTATGATCTAGCCTCCCAGATTTTCATACAGGGACAGGGGCCTCTACTAAACGGCTAAGAGCCCAGCCAGGGAGTGCCTGCTATGACTCCGCCCCTCCATTTGGCTTCTGACAAATGAGATAGTCATGGTACTGTGCCTCTGAACAGGGATTTTGCCTTATAAAACATGCACGTTTGTGTGTGTGGCTACTACATTAACTGTTCTTAAATGACATACGAATATTTTAAACGTACAGGCAATTCACTGTCCAAATCCGTTCGAATGGAGTGTCAATAATAATAATACTAATAATACTAATAATACTAATAATAATAATAATAATAATAAGAAGAAGAAGAAGAAGAAGAAGAAGAAGAAGAAGAAGAAGATGGAGGAGGAGGAGGAAGAAGAAGAATAGACATTTTTTTAAATAAAATATAACCAATTTAAGGAATTTATTTTTAGGAATTAAAATTTACTCACCAGAAACTTCCACAAAACCATCCTTAGTTTTGACGTTAAGCTCCTCCGGTTTGAAACTATGTACATTCACGCACACTTTCCAGGGGTCGCTAGGAAGGGCGACCTCCGCGCCGCGGGGCTCGCTGTGCGTGGCGCTGTACACGGGAGAGTGTTCCGCGTACGCGCGGGGAAAGCCGGAGCGCAAGGAGCCCGACCAGGGAGAGCCCAGGCGGCTGCCAAGCCGGGGACGAGCCCAGTCGGGCCAGTCCAGCGAGAAGTCGTCGGGAAAAGGTGACATGCCGAAATCGTCACCCATGAATCGGGTCTGATCCCTAAATGGATCTCTCGGTACACGCTGCCTGCTGCCCGTTGGATAAAAACCTCCTTCTTCCATTTTTCAGCGCTGGGGTTTGAGTTAGACTTGTAAACTTTATTTATTTTCTCTACAAAATAGACCCCGTGGATTGAGTTATAAATATTCTATTGTTGGATATTTCAATTAATAGTCAATAGAACTCATAAACTCAATAGAAAGGATCACCAACTTCTAAATACTCTCTGAACACGTTGGGAAGTTTCTTCCACGAATATACTGCACTCTCCCCGGCAGTTTCCCGGAATATATAAACTTGAAGCTGAATGTGCGCAACAGCTGATAGGTGAATCAGGACAGCCCCTGACCAATTTTAGCAATCTTCTCCGTGGCGGTCCGGGACAGCCCCCCCGCCCCCCAGTCTCTTTGGGATCCACCCCACCCCGATAACTCATTAGCTTTTTAATAGAAACCAGCTCAAGGCTTCAAGGCCACCCGTGAGGCAACGAGGGAAAGACGGAGAAATGACATCACCGTCCCGATAAATCAGGCTCTCTCATGTCCCGGACGCACGTTTTCTGACGTTGTGCATGTTTGCTGAAACAGCAATGCGTATTACCTTCAAGGCTTTATAAAAGGAAACGTCTTTTCAGCATAATCTGCTTATTTTTGGACATTAAATAAGCAATTGCAGACTGCGGTGATGTTGAAATAGCTTTTATTTTGGAAATTGTACAAGTTCACAAAATTGAAGAGGAAGACTATTAAAGGGGATTTGATGAGCATGTTGTAAACATGAGCGGAGTAACGTTAAAGCCGATTTGACACACTTAAAATGCACCAGTAATTAATCTAAATTCATATTCATCCCAGTTTTTACCATCTTGGTAGGCTGCTATCGCCTACTCGTACAATAAGTGACAGAATGTATATCTAATTGAATTATGCACTTAATTTTTCAGAGAGTTTATGTGCAGTGTAGCACTTTCTTTCAAAACAAAGTACCCACCAGCAGTTTCTTGGACCCAGACAGTATCTTATGGTTTTAATTAAGCATAATCGCTGGCGTAAGTTCACAATTTTAAGGGTTATTGCATTAGAGACGCAAAGCAGATCTATGAAGTCACCATCACTGGGCAGACGCTATTTACACAGGGAAAAAACCTTCACATTAATTCTGTAGTGCGCGTGACGTGGAAGGGATATTAAAACCCCCGTCTCCATTTTCACAGATGTGTATTTACACAACAAAAAATATGTATTCATATTTCCTTCATTGTATACATCATATCTAAAAAAGCAAATAACGTAGTCCACTTTAAAAGCATCGTTGTATTGTGCCATGAAATATTTTGTTTTTTTTTTTAAACCTCAGAATGAATTACTGGACAGACCATTAGTCAATATCTTACACATAATGTAGCAATCCTCCTATATACAATGCATAGGGAGTGCATTTTTTTTCCTCATCAACTTGGTTTAGTTGAAATTTTCCATACATGAAGAAATTACACGCACTGGGCAAACTATACTGTTTGAAAACATTCATGATCACTTGCCCGGTGTGAGGTCCGGGTAAGTTCGTGTTTAAAAGCTTCGAAAAAGAACAGTCTAATACGTACTTTCAACAACAGATCGCCACTTGACATCGATTGGCATCACCCCCAAGGATAATGACTCTTAATGCATTTTCAAAAAACCCTGAAAAAGCGGTAGAATCACTCTCACGTGCTGCAAGTCTTCGTTCAGTCTGCAGTTTGTCACGGTTCTTTCAAATACTACTTTTTTCAAAAATAAATATCGACATATATATATATATAAAAAAACACGACTGCATTCCATCACATATAAAAAGCCTGAATAAATTACGGAAAATAAATGTGAACCATAAAAAAAACTAATGTGCATTGAATAACTTCCTCACATAAATAAATTTAACCTTCATTTGCCTAGTAATCAACAGAAGGTCAGAATAAATAAAGTATATAAGTAGATTCAGGGCAAGATACACATCAGATAAACTCAGCAGCTTGAAACTGTATGGGCCAAGTTTCTCTGTTTTGATTTATCAGTTCCAGAATAGGCCGATAGGATTATACAAATAGAATTAATTAAGCAACAGCTAAATGAAACAATGAAAAACGGTACAAAACAAGTGGTTTTCATCTTTGAGCGACCAATAACTTCCATCCAATAAATAAATAAATAGAACCATAAATAAAATAAATATGAAATAAAAACTTATCTCAATTACTTAATGCTCAGTCTAAACTACAGTCTGGTGTGCTATTGATGAACACATTATCTTAGACACGATACTTCCGGACAGCAGTGGTCACCTCCAGGTGATAATGCACTGTAATTTGGCTGATGAACACCTCCAGAGTCAGGCAGTGGCTTACAGCCTCACTGTCTGACACCACCACTGAGCAGTGCCCTAAGAATTGCTCTCTTCTCTACAGCTTCCACTCACCGATCCTGCCCCAGAGTCCATCTGGACTATCCCCACACTGCTTTAGGATGTCTGGGTGGGGATTCTCCACCACCTACAGCTGCTGGACGCCTCGCCTTTACATCCTAACCAGTCCTTTTCACATTTAGCCGGTGTAGAGTGACATTTTGGTTCTCATGAATATAGAGCAGTGTTTTAAAGCTTTAATTCTGGCTTGGATGACCACAGTAGTTCATTTTTCTTTTATAAACCAGAATGTGCTGTAATGTAAATACTAATAAACTTAATTAAAATAAAAATATATATAAAAATATAAAACTGGAAATAAAATATATATGAGGCCCAAGGCACCTCAAACAACGGTCAAAGCTGGGGAACTCTGACAAATTCACAGCACAAGAAGTATCAAAATGCTAAATATTTTGGCCTGGAGAAAAGAAACAATATCAGTGTTCTAAGATCGTAATGAAATCATTCACACGTTTATAACGTCTCACCCTCCACTGCGTCTCCAGTCTTCAAAAGAGCCTGTTTCCCAGTTTCCCCTTCGAGCAAATATATTGAGTATCAGTTTGGTATGATATCGGTATCAGTCTGGCCATGGGTAGTGTTAGGCATCAAAACTACACAAAGAAATTCACCATGTAACTGCCTGGCTTAATAATTTAAGTGGTCGCACTAAATTTTAAGTTATGAGCCATAACCGAGGTTTTCCACCTTCCTTAAAGCAGCGAGCCTGACTTTGTTGTGCATCTGCACAATGACAATACAGTTGACTTTGACCCTCGATTACTAATGTGCAATCCCATAAGTAACGAAGAAATAAGGATGGCTTTAATATTTCTTAATATTTTTTGCAATGTATTAGCCAGTTCTTAATACAGCCATTCATCTAACGAAATGTCTCTGTGAACCCTCTAGAATTGCTACACAGACTCCATGCTGAAAGCCGCTCGGGTCTGGATCAACATTCCAGAAGGGTGTCATTTTAAGGGGGACAAAAGACCGACTGTACATCCTTGCTTCTTCATCAACAGCCAAAACATACACCACTGTCCTAATACGAGACACAATGACGGTTAAAACAAGGGACCAGAGAACACTGGCTAATATCTTCTACATCCGAAGCATACAAGCAGGAGAGTCAAAAGTTTGGTACCAGTTCTGATAGGGCCGGTGCCATTAACACTGCTCATTAGGCTGTGGATGAGGGCCCGGCTAGCGGAGGGCCCGGCTAGCGGCGAGCCCGGCTGTAGACGCCCACAGAGTCATAGCTGCTGCTGCGCACACTGATGGAGCTCCAGGACGGGCTGCGGCTGTAGCTCCTGTAGGTGGAGCAGCTCCGACTGGTGCTCCTGCTCCGGCTGCGTGTGAAGATGCTGCTCCAGGACGAGTAGCTGGTGGAGCGGCTGCTGGAGGAGGGGCTGGGCCGGTAGTAGGGGATCGGCCTCTTTCTGGCGCTGCGTGACACCACAAGAGCTCCTTAAGTCTCAAATCAGCACTGCTGTCTGTACTCATTTGTAAAATACCCCCCACCCTTCCCCATCAATGAACTCGACCGAATCTCCCCTCTAACTTCACTAGTCACTGACTGATTGAGGTCCCTGCCAATGTACTTTCTCATTCACCTAGAAGGCTCAAGGCGTTTTTCCACTGGCATGCAGGGACCGACCCGTACCCAAGCCGTACCGCAAAGAGAGACTAATGACAGCGCGGTTCCAGCTTGCTTCGGTTTCCCACTACAGAAGGGTCGGCTCAGTAAAGGTGTTACTGGAGAGTGTCAATGATGTAAAACTGAAGAGATTTACTGTTCACACGGTCTACATCATTATTTACTATGTGCAATTACTAGTATTTTTTTTTTTGTTTACTGTGTGCTAATTTCCACTGAGAATTGCAAATATAAAATGCTAAATTTACATTACTAATCCATTCTGTCCACCTGTTTTATGGTACTTTTTAAAGTAAGAGGTTGGAAATGTTCAAGTTTCGAGTTTTTGGGAATGCATCATGATATACTGCTAATAGTGAATGATATATGAAATATACGCTTTTTCCTTCAGATAATCCCTGCACAGAACACAGGAATCTCCGTGCATTTAGATCAGTCAGATGGTGGTGATGCAACCAGCTCGGTTTGGTCATGCTTTTGGCCCTGTAAGTACCAGATCGTGGGGAGGAGGTTTGCCACAAGAGTGGAACCCAGGTGCCACAAGACTGGCATAGCAAGACCAAAAATATAAGACCTAAATTATACTTTTGGCCCTTAACAGGCTAACAAAAAAAGCTGAAAAAGTTTCAGAAAAAAGGCCTAAACTCGAGGAAACAGGACATGAACACGCCGTCCTGTTCTCTGAGAGCACATCTCAAACTCCTAATCTCTCCAGAGTCAAACTTGCTGAACCATGTACGCCAGACCTGGGCAAAAGCTGCCTGTGGGCCATATCCGGCCAGCAGAGCTATTTTTAGTGGCCCCCACAATCATTAAAATGAAAGAAAGAAAAAAAAAGCGAATAATAATAATAATAATAATAAATACTGGTACAGATTCATGTTCAAATCTCATGAATAATTGCAAATACATGTGCTATTTCTGTACTGGCATGCGGAAATGCCCACTGCTGAAACAGTGAAGCTCAGACTTGGCGCGCCACAGAAAATAACTGTCCAGGCCTGATGGAAAATATAACAACCAGGCCAGTCAGGGTCTGCTGATCGGCACCGTAATACAGGAATTCACTTAAACCCCCTGTGGCTGACAAACAGCCAGCAGGCTTCTGCCTGCCTTCTGGGCATGTCTCCCCACCTGGTGATCCTCCGGGCCTCCAGGTGACTCGGCGAGTCCCTCCTTCGCTTCCTCATGGGAGAGTACGATCTCTTTCTCCGCCGTTCCCGTTTTGACCTCTTGTGGCCTCTCTGTGACCCTTGAGCCCTTTAATTGAATTGAGAATCAGGTTTCAAAACATGTATCCCTACTGTTCATCACATTTTCTGACATATATGTTATCAAGATCTCATCCTCATTATTATGTGCCTGAAGACCTGCGGTTTAAAACAACAAAGACCTTCTTCTGACATCTCGGCCAAGCCTTTTAAAATATATTTCATATACTGCACAATATCACTTTCCAAGTCATTGCCATTGATAGATAGTGGCATACGCAGGGTTTGCTGATATTCACAGATCCACAGACCTCCTTGGGCTGTATCTGGTGTAACTGGGACTCCGACGGAAACTTCCGCTCTCCACACTGCTCTGTCTGGATCTTCCCGAAGAACTGGGCGTCCGAGAGTATGACCTTGAGAGAGGCAAAGACATGCAATGTGTACCAAGGCGAGAATTTGGTCGCCCTCTGGAGACTGAAATGGCCACGTCATGGACGCACCTCCTTTCTGAAGATGGTGACCGACTGCGGGAATAGCGGGATGAGAAGCGGGAGCTCCGTGAGGACCTGCTCCGGCTCCGGCTGCTTCGGGATCGAGTCTCAGACCGCCTGCGAGGAGGAGTCACACTCTGACCAGGAGTGACTCTGGATGCCTTGGGCCTCCCACAGCCTCCCCCACAAACTGCAGGGGTCAACATGCTAAGGAAAGAAGAATGCCTTATGAACACCATTACGGACCCATAGGCTAGTGCATCAGCTGTATGTTTAGCTATACATCTGCTCAGAACAAACAGAGTTGTGCATGTGCTTTAGATGTTTACGATGCTCATGATTTTAGTTTAAAATTAGTGACTCACCCTCTGCTGCTCCCATTAATGAATGTCGTACCACTGTCCAGTGGCAGAGGTTTGCACGAGGAGGAGTAACTGGTCACAGAGTGTCCCGAATCAGAGGAGTTATCACCACCTGTGAACCTCGACTTCTCCGGGGAGCGTGACCCTATTTCACAAAGGCCGCTTTTGTCCTCGCTGACCTTTGACCTCGACAGGCAGGTTTTGGTTGACGGGGGAGAGGATGTGTCGTTGCCGGAGTCATAGTCCTGCTGTCCTTTGTTTTGAGTGGACAGAACATTGCGGCCGATCCCCTTTTGGGTAAAAACTCCGACTGCAGAGCCTGAGTGCACAATCTGGAAGCAGACAGAGGGGTCTGTCGCTTTACTACAGAAGATGGTTTCACCAAGTAAGAGCCTGCATGAACCACTGTTAATACTCTATAAAAGGCACACACTTCCTTACAGGACAAAGAGAAGAGAATCGTTTTGGGACAGGAGAATCAGAGAGATTAAGAGGTCATGCAAATTTATAGCATGCAAATAATGCGAAAGGAAAAACTAAAACAAAAGATAAACCAAAAAATATTAATTAATGAGTAAACTCAAGTTTCAGCTAAATAAATAGTGAACTAAAGAACATATAAAGGGAACAACCAAATGGGATCTTAAAAAGAAGAGATAAAATATGCAAGTTAAACTATTGACTGTCTTGAGAAATTTGAGAAAGAAATAAAAGAAAGAGAATAAGTCCCAATTAAAAAGTCATCTTAAAGGAACAGCAAACGAACATCACAAAATGGGTATTATGTAACAAATGAACAGTATTGCAGACAGAGATATTCCATCACTCTTAACTAAGAAAAACCCTCAGAAAAGTACAGAGTTTTTGTAATTCTTTTCTTATTTCCTGAAAGAAGAAATTAATCTGCCTCCAGCGACCTAAAATAAATCCCTGTGTCTACGAGTAGCATCGACTTACCAATCAAGATTTCCTCCTTAAGTAGGTAAGGTGTAAGAAAAGAGGGAGAGCGGGCAACATAAGTGCATCATTAGAGATGTAAATTACAAGAAAAGACAATTACCCTGTCTTCAGTCCCTGTGCCAGCTGGCTGGCTGGCACACTCCCTACTCCTGTGTCTTACTTTGCGACGATGTGCTTTGTGGGTACGTTTCATGGCCTGAGCCCAACCACGAGCTAGCAGAGTTCTGTGAATGCCTGAGACCGGTGACGCCAAGTGTCTCAGCCCCAAAGATACAAGCTAAGGTCACTTATTGTATTCGTTATGCAGCTTTAGATTTATCCGCATGCCTACGAATTACCAGCAAGAGGAAGGGTCATTTCAGACGCTTAAATGGGAGGTCAAAGGCACTGTCAACATTAGCATGTTTGTTTGACGCCTTGCATCGACATTATGCTCAGCGTCTTATCGATCGCTCTGATTGTACCGTTTGCCCGCACTGCATTCTGGAATGTTTAGTTCAATCATTCCAGTGTAAAATAACTCTGACAAGGTATCATGTCCCTAATGCTTTAAATAAAACCTAGAACCTTGATCATCAAGAATAGTTGTTGTCCTATTCTTCCTCACCTTAACTCAAGAAACATTTGTTAATGATATAAATTGCCATTTTCCTTTAAAATATATGCACCACCCTTCAATTTTCTGTCTTGTACTAGGCATCCTGTAGCATCCTCTCTAAGTCAGGAACACAGTGGCCCCCCGTAGCTACAGAGACTTCTGGCAGAAACCTAACCCATCACATGAAAGCAAGTCATGAAGATCATGTGAAGACTGAGAAGATCCTATTAAACACTGCCCTAGAATGAACCGCAAACAACAGTACATATTACAACTGCTCACATGCTCCTCTGAGGAAAACTGTCACTCAGAAACCACCCTCTTGATCAAGAATCCTTACTTATTTCACCAATACCCACCTTTCCTGTATTTGTGTGAGATGCTTTCTTAGAAAAGAAGTGTAAAGAAAATATCCAGTTTGGATTCAGTGAAGAAAAAAGCAGATTAACTGTCACCACTGCTAGGAAACAATTTGATACATAGCTACAAAAAATAAAAATAAATTAACATCTTTGGACATAATAAAACTCACCTCAAGTCAGCGTAATGATACCCTGCAGTTAATCCAGTGGCATTTACTGAACAGTTGGTGTTTAAAATCAATAAAAAGAAAATGATATTTATATTTTTGTTTATGTACTTTAAATGGATATTTAAACTATTTAAAAGTTTAATAGTATTATTAATTTAATAGAATTTATTATGAAGAGTACCTTTTTTGTACTAAAGACAGTGTAGGTAGACAATAATGATAATTTATTTAATACTGATATAAAGTGTAAATGTGTGCATTTTAGAATTACCTTAGCATAGGGAGGAAGTATATTACATGTACATCCTTGTGTTAATGGGAAAATGTTCTGTTTCTTAGTTCTGTAATAATTTAATGACTGAATATACCAACTGAAGCACACAAACGGATAACTTAAAGCAATAAAAACGTCAAAAGTCAGGAAATGTGAGGCAGGCCATGTAAAAGTAGTTTAAAGTGAGATAACGTAATTTTTGCCTTTTGAGAAAAGCAGCAATATCTTACATATTTGATGTTATAATTAAAGAGAAACAAAAAAATACATGTATTTCATAAATAAAACTTGTATATGCACATATATTACCTATACAATCCAAATATTTCAATAGAAAAATTCTCTCAGGAATTCAGATGTGATATTAATTAATTACTATTTTCCTTTAAGAATGTATTTGAAAGATTTGAGCCATACAGGTGCAAGTAGAGAGTGTACCCAGCCTGACCTGTAAGTGGCTGAATCACCATCAATTTCATAAGAATTACAGCTTTAAACCTTGGGGGGGGGGGGGGCTTTACATGGCCTGAGCAGCATCACAAGGAACAAGATCATCTGAGGGACCTAGAGAGCACTTACGGTGCCGTCGGAGGGGGCTGGGCGGTACATGGGTGGGGTATTACAGGCTGGAGTGGCCAGCGGCCCCAGCTTGAGCACCATCTGCTGGGTGGATGTGCGGTCCTTCCCTTTGTGGCCCGGCTGCCTGGCTGGACTTCCCGACCGAGACCTGTGCAGACGCCTGGGGTAACGGTACACAGGGTGAGAGTCAGGGTTAGGGTAACGGTACACAGGGTGAGAGTCAGGGTTAGGGTAACGGTACACAGGGTGAGAGTCAGGGTAAGGGTTAGGGTAATGGTACATGGGGTGAGAGTCAGGGTAAGGGTTAGGGTAATGGTACACGGGGTGAGAGTCAGGGTTAGGGTTAGGGTAACGGTACACAGAGTGAGAGTCAGGGTTAGGGTAACGGTACACAGGGTGAGAGTTAGGGTTAGGGTAACGGTACACAGGGTGAGAGTCAGGCTTAGGGTAATGGTACACAGGGTGAGAGTCAGGGTTAGCGTTAGGATAATGGTACACAGACTGAGTCAGGGTTAGGGTAACAGTACACAGGGTGAGAGTCAGGATTAATGGTATACAGGGTGAGAGTCAGGGTTAGCATTAGGGTAATGGTACAGAGGGTGAAACTTGCAGACAGTCTGCTTGTTCATGGAGGGCTTTTTGGGTAATTCTGGGTGGAGGGGGGGTAACACATTTAAACTGTCCCATGTATATGTAGTTAACAACACAAAGCTAAAAAAAGGATTTAAAATTTTTTTATGGCACATATTTTACATATTACACATTAGTTTTAGCAAATACTAGCACCTAGGTGACAAATCCTGTCTCCACTCACGCAGACAAAAACCAATATATCTTCAACAAAGCTACACTCAAGAGCTGCAATGTACTTGGATAAGGGGCATCTGCTCCCAGAATGATTCTGTACAATGGCTGCACACTGTTTATTATAGTGCGGAATTACTTTATCACAGTAATAATGGAATACGGGGCCAGCCGAAAGGTAATTCTGCTTGTTCTCGCTTCTCTCGTTTCAGTGGAACACACTGTAAAGGTTCAACTTTTACGATTTGGGCTATTGAATGTCCCACAGAAATTCCACATAATAGAGAGATCAAGAGGGATTTAAAAGCAATCATCTTCAGATCCAAACTATTTCAATTCTAAACCCTGGCTATTTTTTCATATGGTAAGAGGGGTCCGCCTTACGAGGCCTGACAAACAGTTGTGCCAGATCGCTTATGATTGAATCAGAAAGTGGGTGAAATTGCATGAGCTGTGACCCCCTGTACTGTGCTCCTGCACACCACCCAGACTGAGGACTTGCCAAAACATAACGTGGCCGGACATATACAGAAAACACACAGGTTTGAAGGGACAGATGAATCCGCAGAAATATCCTGGTGCCGGTGAGGAACTGGGGATATGATCCAACTCACAGTAAAACAATACAGACACAGTATTTGGCTATGGTTTGCAGCCCATCAAGCTGATATGGGCACAGGCCATATTGTCACTGCTGGACACACAGATGGACAAATAGGATTGGGTGGGAGGAGGTTGTCCCTTTACCTGCCATCAGGGCTGGAGGACCGGCAAGCAGAACTCTCTGAGTCTGACTTATGGGGGCGCTGGCGTCTCCTGTGTAAGCGGCTCCGAGATCTGCACAATGAAACAGGAAGGTGATAAAAATCTCAGCCACCAGCACCTCCCAACTCCCCCTTTATGGAGTCTCAGAAAACTCTGTCACGGTCACATTAACTTGGGCACAGGAAATTATTTCTTATTTGTCAACCGGCAAGTGTAATACCGAAGAATGTTCCAGAATGTTGGGAATAAACTTGTCTGCTGGAATGAGCTGCACAAAATATTGCCTCAAAAGTTTTGAGAAAGAAGGACTAAATTTAGCCTTATAATATATTGTTCTGCATTGAGGAAACCAGTGACAGAAATAATCATTGATTTATATAAGTACAGTGAAGGGAGTCTCCTGTTAATGGACACAAGGTCCTGGACACCTGTGGACCCCTAAAAATGTCCTTGAACCCCAGTGACTCAGAGATTCTTAGCAGTCAATGTCATAACTGGGGAAAACGGATTTTCTGAAGCACAGTTTGTTGGCAGGAGGCTGTGAGTCCCACCTCGAATTTAATCTCCTATCCCCCAGTGCACAGAAACGTAACCATATCCCCCTCTGCTTGACAGCTTACGGTGAAATGAACCTTGGAAAAAATCAGTCAGCTTAGGCTGCCTGACGATGGCATCCATGTATAGAGTGCAAGATACTGGCTTTGGAATGGAATGGGGGTGAGGAAATCAAAATGTACAGCGGGAACGTGATATCTGCTAGACATTCGACAGCTATCGCGATGCTCATTAGTAGCTGAGATGAGGTGAGGACACCCAGAACCCAGCAAAAATATAAGGGCAAGGCTCCATAATCCCTGCTGCCAAGGCAGAGAAGAATGGCTGCCAGCAAGCAGTTATTCATGCACATTTGTGAGAGAGCCTTGGCTTCGCCGACTTCCCTACAGGGCACTCACACCAGGGCTAAGGACAGGAACAGGAACCTGAAGGGTTAGACTGAACCTCTTAGTCTGCCATGAAGCCACGAGTATATCAGGCTGCAATTACCAGAGAACAAAGGTGTTCTAGGAAAGACTGAAACCATCATCCGCCTGTGCCAATATGAAGAACCCAATGAATAAATAGCCTAATTAGGTGCTGTGCATCACAATGAGAATAACTTGTAAGCACTATGATAACAGGAAATCACATCCAGATAGAGAAGTCTTAATCATCCTTGGATAATGAAGTCATAAGCATATCTAGAGCCTATCATATTTTGTTAAAGGAGTCATCGTACCACTCAGATAATGGAGTCTTAACCATACTCTGCTAAAGGAGGCAAAATCATACTCAGATAATAGAATCTTAACAATACTCTGCTAAAGGAGTTATAGTCATACTCAGATAATGGGGTCTTAATCCAATTCAGATAGGAGTCATAATCACACTCAGATAATTGAATCTTAATTATATGCAGGTAAGTGAGACATAATCCGACTCAGATAATTGAGTCTTAATCATATGCATATAAATGACTCATAATCAGACTCATAATGGAGTCTTAATCGTAGTCTGTTAAAGGAGTCATAATCACACTATCTTTATCTATCCTGAAGTTTGAAGAGTGCTGAATGTCACAGAGGTAAATATACAGCATGAGATCTTATAGTATTCACCCCTAAGAAAGGCAGAGCCACTTTTCCCTGATATAACGTGACAGAGGAGCTTCCTGTTTCACAGGAGGAAGCTGATGGAACAGGGGGCTGTGGATCATATTCAGTACGAAAGAAGCATGCAAGCTGAACGCAAGATAAATATTTAAAAACCCTGGAGCTTAATATGCGAAGAATATTAATGCATTCAAATCAGATGTACAGGCCTGGGAAGTTTACAATTTCAGGATGGAGAGCTAACATACATTATGACTTTATTAAAAATAAAGTTCAGGGACAGAATAACCAAGATACGAAAGAAATAAGACCTCCCAGTGGTAGCAATATTTTTGGTTGTGTTTGGAAAAATAATGTTGTTATTACTGTGTTCTGAGAACTCACATCAGGCATTACACTGAAGCTTTTTTGCAATAAAGGTTTGTGTTATTTTCACTGAGGAGCCACAATGCCGTTTGAATAGAGATGTTTTATTTTGAATGTCAGTGATGGAGTTTGGAGAGAGTTGCTTCCCTGTTTCCAGATCCCCATTCATAGGAGGCAAATTCCTGCATCTCTTTGGCTGTTGGGGTTGATCCAGCAGGAATGCTGTTTTTCACCCCGTTATCACACATCAGGATTTTTGGGCTGAGGCATTGACCAGCTGATGTTATGTTGCTGATCAACTACTTTGTCACCATGACATGAACACAGAAAATATTTTTTACACGCCTCCAAATGGGCTGCATTTATTAGCTACTAAACAGCCAGAGCAGTGGCTGAAAATAAAGTAAATTGATTGCATACCCTATGGCAGCAAGGTGACAGAAATGGACAAAGTTTACTTTGTTCTCGTTCTCACTGTGGAGCAAAGTAAGATATTAAGAGGTGAAAAATATCAGATGACACACTGTACAATGGCCCACAAGCTTGTCTGAGCTCCGAGAGGCGAAGGCAGCTTTGAAACCAAGGGGGGGTTGGTGGAGGGGGCACACCCTAACACAGCCTCTACAAGGTCACCAATATGCTTTAGCTCACCTAAAGGGATTATAAATGTACCAGCTACCCAGTGTAAAATTGCTTTCCCTCGCTCTCACTCCGCCCCCCACCCCCTTTCTCCCTCTCTCTCTGCATTACACACACCTGCCGTGAAGCACCTTGGAACAGACTTAATCTAAACCTGGCCCAACTTTCAGCTTCGAGGCAGGCAGACACTTCCTGTCTAGCGGTGTAGCGATTTTTCAAATCCGCAGTTCGGGTCATATCTCAGTGTTTTTGTGTTTGGCGGGGGTGGGGTAAAAAAAAGGGAGGGGGGGTTAAAATTCTGGGTTTTATTAATCACCAACACTTGGGAACACTAAACAAAGGAACACAAAAAGAACATGCTGGATTAACTTAACGTTACGCAAAATAACTATGTAAACAGAAATAAAAAGTATACTCTATTTAAAAAAAAGGACTATACCCTATTACATAACCAAAATGTTCCCTCACCGCTGACTTGATTGTCCCTGGGTGCTCTACAGTTTGAGGGTTATTAACCATCTTGAGTTAGCCTAGCTTTAACCGCAGGCGTGATCACTCGATCATGACGGGAGCAAAGTAGTCATGCAACACACACGGCTGGAAATATGTGCAATACTTACAAAATATACAGCTTGCCCTATCTTTAAATAGAATAGTATTTTTGTGATTTACACGTGCTATAGGGTTATTTGTGAAATGAAAAATAACATTTATAACATTAGTAATGTGATTGAGAGTTTAACAGGCTGCACCTGCAGTAGTGCGCTGGAGTTGGGGTTGGGGGGGGGTTATCGTGGTTCTGTCTTTCAGAACTGAGTCATAAGATTGTGAACATTTGCACTGAGGTTTTGGTCTCGGTTTCAGAACCATTACACCACTATAGTCTAGCCCACAGGGGGAACCTTCTCTGTGATAGATATATGGACTTTTACCTTTTCTTGTGCTTTTTGTCATCCTTTCGTTTGCTTTTCAGGCTTGATGAGCTGTTGGGTGGAAAGTAAACGTAGTGATTAATCCCACAGCCTATTGCCTGGCTCAGACTTGTTTAGCTTAGCAAGGCTGTCCTGCATACCTGTGCCTTCGCTTCTTGGAGTCTGACCTGCAAAAGATGAGGAGTGTCACTCATTTACTCATGGCAATGTCTAAAGGCCAGAGATGACACCAGCATTTGACAATATTTTATACAATTGGTATGCACCAGTAAAATAAATAAATAAATAAATAAATAAATAAATATATATATATATATATATATATATATATATATATATATATATATAAATAATTTATGCATTCAAATACACTTCATTATGGCTAGATTTGTTAGATTTTCCCGTTTTGTTAATTTCAATATCCATCTGTCTAATCATCTTACATGACTGCTTGTCCAGTGATATAAATACAAGCGCTGACACCTATCACAAACTATCGAAATACCTTGCAGAAATACAAGTTTTTGGGGTTTTTTTTGTATGGCTGATGCATTTCACAAAGATTCTTACAACAAAATATGAACATTTAAGAAAGCATCGACACAGACAAATTACGAGTATTCGGGGGATTACAGTACTCGCCTGTGCTACAGAAGTACTCAACATGCATATTTACCAGAGGGTTCCGTAATGACCGACCCGCGAGAAGTGGACGCTTGTTGGAATTGGTATATAGACTTGCAGTATAGTGTACCAACTTAAAACATAAACCATAGGCTCTCAGGCTTCAAAATGTTACTATTTATGTTATATGTAACATATATTTTAAAATTTTGTAATTAAAACTGTGAAAAACATTTCAGGATTAAACCATACCTGTCAAGTTTGGGATTTGAAAATAAGGGAAATTTTCCGGCACCCACCGCGAGTCATCCCACCACCCCAACCAAGCTCCAGTATCCCTTACATTTTAAGACAGGTGTACAAGAAATCTAAAATAACCACTTGTCATTTACATTTTATTTTCATTACACATTTTCTTTTAATTTCTCATGTTCACTCATGTGCCTCTCTGGCATTCACTAATGACTTACAACAAGGATACAAAGTCTGCAACAAATGTTGCAGACTTTGTATCCTTGTTGAAGTCGTCACAGAAGGTGAAAGTAACGTTGTTTTTGGCACACAGCATTGCCATTTTAACCTCCGCATTTATGACCTGTGGCCTGTACTACGAAGCGGGGTTACTGGCTTATCGGGGTAAATTATCGGACTTAAGGTAGTCTGGGCAAAATGAAAGTGAACGAATATGAAGCCGATTTAAACTGTGGTACCTTAAATCCGACAAGTTACCCCGATAAGCCAGTAACCCCGCTTCGTAGTACAGGCTACTGGTTAATGTTGTAAATGACCAGCAGACTACTGCAGGTGGCAGTTCTCGCGAGGCTACTGACAGTTAAGTTTGGAGAGGCAATTATTAATGATATTATAATACGGGAGATTTACGGGAAAATACTAATACGGGAGGACGGCGGGAAAGAGGGGTAAAATACGGTAGTTTCCCGGCCAAAACGGGAGACTTGACAGCTATGGATTAAACCTCATCAAAGTAGCGTAAAGCGTGTCTCTTATACAGTGTACGGCTGCCCGAAATTTATTTTAACATACATATACTTATTGTTTATTTTTATTTCGGTCATATGTGCGAGCGGTCGTAATTCGGGAATAGCCTGTACATGAAAATAGTACTAAATAAGCCTTTATCCTAACATTAATAGCCATGGAGAGAGCGAAAGTTCGTAACACTCCCACATTAAACAGCCTCCCTCCCACCACCGTATTGTCAGGCATGATACCTGTGTCGTTTTCTCTTTTTCGAGCTCTTCTTCTTCTTCTTTTTTCGGACAGGCGAGATGCTGTATGAGGGAGACCTGTGGAAGAAATGAGGCGACTTTAAAAAAAAAAAAACACACACCATAAGACAGGCAGCAACACGCGAACAAACGCCGCCCGTTTCCCGCGCGCTGACCTTTTCCTCCTGCGCTTTCGCTGTGACTTCTTCCTCTTCTTCTTTCCCTTCGGTGCAGGTCGAGGGGACAGATCGTTATCAAAAGACAAACTGCGAACGAGAGAGAGAGAGAAAAAAAAGTAAAAAGTTTACCGGAGATTATCTTTCACTAATGCCGCTGCGTCTTTGTGTCTTTCAGCGAATGAACTGCCATGAAATATTAATGACTGATACGGTTCAAATGGAGGATCCCTTATTCAGTCAGACAGATTCCACTGAGCTCGTATTGATGCAGCAATATAACATGCAGTGGTGCAGGTTTATTGAAACGAGAGAAGTCCAAGTTCGAGTTGTTTAAAGTGCATTTGAAATATAAAGACGGCAGCCACTTTAAAAGTCCGAACAAAAGAAGATGTCAATTTGAAGTCATTTCTGCATTAGGAGAAATAGAGAAATCTGTCGTTTTTAGATAGCAATGGGAGTTAATCTGGGATTAGAGCTAGTTAATGCTCTTTGTAGACTGACGTTCTGACATGGTATGAAAGGACAGATGTAAACCTTGGGATTCGCTTCGCTTGAATGTCTGACGCAGAGTGGGAAGCTTGGAAAGGGGGGGGTGAGTGTGTGATAGATGCTGGTGCGTTACTGTTAGCTAAGGTGAGCGGTGTACAGCCCGCCGCCCCTCAAGTAATATGACTTGCTGTCGTTTGCTTAAATACATCAATATTGAAAAGAGACTCTTGTTGACTTGACCAGATCACAGTTTCTTTCAACTACATAGCGGACTTGAAAACCATCCCAGTTTATTAAACCGGGCTTTCAGGTAAAGTGTGTGGAGTGGCTTTTTAATGATGTTTATTTGGCCAGCATCGCTGTAGTAATAATGAGGTAGGAAATGAGAATTATCATGGTGACTGGAGAGAGTGTGAAAGAGATTAAATTAGATGTCAGGAATTAGGCAGGATGAAGTTGTCGGACGCTAGGAAAGACACGTCCAAGCAGGGAGATTGGTAAATGATGTGTTTTGACCGTGGGGGAAAGATGTACTCACATGCCCTGTCGATTCTGTTGTTGAGTAAGCCATAGTGAGGTGTGTGGTTGACAGATATGTGGCCTTCAGATACTCGGCTATGTCTAGGGTTCAAAAGACTCAGATACTATGCTGTGTAGAGCTCAGATACCTTGACATGCAGGGCTCAGATACACTACTGTGTAAGGCTCGATACCCTGCCATGTAGGGCTCAGACACCCTGTCGTGTAGGGCTCAGATACCTTGCCGTTTAGGGCTCAGATACCCTGTGTGTGCATACCAAATTAATTTAAGGATTCCTTAGGTAACTTTAAGTTTAGCATGAATATTGGATAGCTTCCGTTTTTACTTCTCCAATTTCACACACATCACTGTTTGGGAAATACCAAGGTAAGTGCTAGATGTCTTGAAGAGATCATGGGAGTTTTACTTGAGAATTCTTGAAGCTTCAGTAAGTGTATTTATACATAGGAATTTTATTAATGCTACTTAAGGTATTACTGCGTAATACATTTTCGCCCAGAACTAAGGGAGTTGGTACGATCCACGTAGCAATTTGTGGCAGGAATGAAGATGGATTTAGATTAAAGAATGTAGTTCCCATGGGGAAAAAAGGCAATCCACAAATTTTTTTTTCTTTGTTAAGCTTGTTCAAAAAAGGACTTTATCTCCCTTAATCTCTCGAATCTTACCAGCTATCAGAGCTGCAGTGTTCCTGCCTCACCTTCATGCAACCTTTATAGTGCCCGACAAACAGTGGGAGAGTCATTTCCTGCAGTTGTAGCAGAGACCTGCTTTGGGAATCTCCCATGGTTTTGTCAAAGCTCGTTTAGCAAAGTTCAAAAACACAGAAGATGTGTGCATTTTCAAACCAAGACAAAAAAAACTGAAGGCTTTTGGGGGGGGGGGGTAAGGATGAGCCAAATAGAAGATGACAGATGTCATATGTGAGGGAGGGGGATCGGGAGCAGCAAAGCAGAATCACACCTCCACTCTCCTGCCTCCAGGGTTTTGGGTTCGATCCCTGCTCTGGCTGTGCGAGCTGGCGTGAGTTTTCTCTGGCTGCTTCATATATATGTGATTCTGTTGGATCACTGTCTTTAAACTTGGCCTTAAATGTATAAAATGTATAAATAATGGATTGCCGACTGGCATCCCATCCAGCATGTATCCTGCCTCACGCTCTGGACTTCCTGATGGCCCCGTAAGCCTTTTCCATGGTTCTGCCGCCTTCGTTCTGAATTATAGTTCCAGATTTCTTAGTTTTAATCCCGAATTAGCCACAAATGCCAACACCAGTCTGTAAATGTCAACTAGCAGCTGAAAACCCCAAGTAAACCATGTTCCTGAGGAGACACTGTGGGGAAAAGTAGCACTATCTGGCCATGCCACAGAATCTGGCTCTATGAGAAGATCGAATGTGTCAGTAAACTATTAGATCACCCCTACAGGCAGGCAGGTCTTACACCCCACCCCACCCCCCCCCCCCCAATCACTGGGGCTTGTGTCATACAAATTTTATTTTGCCCCATTTTACAAATAAATTGTTATCTTTGTAATCTTGTTTTCACGGCTGACGCGATGTTTCTCTGCTTCACCGTCTTACATGCCGTGCCAAACAATCCGTCGCAGGGCGTGTTTAAGTCTGAGAAAAATGCTGCTCATAATTTCCACCTCTGTAGAATCCAATTTATCACCTCCACCACTTGCTACAACCAGATCGATGTGGGGAACAGGCTAATCATCAAATCTTTCAGATTACGGGAATGTGTCACAACGTCTCTACAGCAGGAAAGGTCATGCTATCTGTGTCACTGAAACTGGAGCCAGAAAATAAAACACAATTTAGAAATAAAAATAACAAAAAGGAGACCCTTACACAGAAAATGAAACCTTCAACCCCCCTGATGACAGCAGTTCTACCCTTGATGCTGCATCTGTTGACCTTCAGAACCATTATGTCATCTTTTTTCTGTCAAGAAATCCAGTGTTACCATGGAGATATGAAGCTACAGCACTGATGACCATGACACTCTATACCTTAATTTCCCTACAATTACAGGAAGAAAGATTTTTTTTTATCATTTGGGTGGTACTCCTGTAAACTGCTGTCTGGCAATTTTGTGCATGTTGGTGAGCTCGTTCCTTGTCTCACAGCCATCTTGCCATTCCTGAAGAGTTGGAGCTACGCCTGTGAATAAATTTTTAAAGATACCAAGTGCGGATTTACCACAGCTGGAATGAAAGGCGTGCCGATAGCAACTTTACACATGCATTCATTACACGGAGCTGCACCCTTCATTTTTCCGCAGTCTAAAATGAACATTGATCAGGATTGAACATGGCCTTTGCAGCATAATTAATGACAACTGTGTCAGACAGGAGCTCCAGCAGTGGAAGAGCATCACGGCGACTGCCCTCCATGCCGATACGAAGCTTCACATCTCGTTAACTCCCCCTATACCAGTTGTGCATGTCTACGTTTTTAAATCCATGAGAGGAGAAAATAGTTTCTCCGGTTGTAGCTTTCAGCTGCAGAGTACAAGGTTAAAATATGATGTCAGTCTGATGTTTTTTGGAAAATACCCATCTTAGACACATCGGCGGGGGCATTGGGCATTGCACTGATGTGGTACAGCGTGTTTTTCTGCCAGCTGACCCTCAGTGCATCTTGTGCTGACTCCTTCCCTGCCAGGTCCTGCTGCTCCTGAGATGGGCACCCCTGCTGATCTTATCCTTCCTCGAGCAATGCCGGTATCACATGATCAATGTTGGTATCACATGATCAATGTCAGTATCACATGATCAATGCCAGTATCACATGATCTTGTTCACTATCACAAATCTCCAAATTTCATCTATTCATCCCACATTCCTATATATATTTATACATATAAAAGGGGAATTGTGTCTTTTTCAGTCATGCATTACAAAAACAGAAAAAAATATATGGTGGTGGAATTCATTTCATAGAGAAATAAATACTCAGTTCACTCTTCTGGTGACTGTGACGGATGTGCTTAATCTGCCGTTTGTAACATTCTGTTGACTCAGGAAACCTGTAATTTGTTGCTTGCAGGTGCAATTTAGCACAGTTCTAAGGTAAATTTGTGTCGAAACCCTCTTAGCGTAATGCTAGCGTTTCCGCACACATCTGGCGTGAAATACTTATATTGCAGAAAATTTGGTTGTGTTGCTAGCTGGCTGTTACATGCCATAAAACCCTGTCGGCGCTCCCCACACATTAACTCTGTTACTGCAAGGGCTCTGTGTCATGACCGGCTCTGGCTGCTGTTCTCCACTTTGACCTTCAGTGTGACACTTTGGCAAGCGAATCTAATGACCGCCATCACTTTAGCTGTCAGCTGTTGACGCGTGGTCAAGGGAATTAATGGCCGCTGTTGGCATCTTGACGACAGATAGGTTGCGGGTGTGGGGTTTCCGTCATTTCGCTATTTGCGGTGGCATTAAACGGAGCAGGGTTCGGCTAACATTCCCACACAAAAAACAAAGTCCGTCAGCAGCTCAGGCAGAAAGCTACGTTCTGCTCATGCTTGGAAAAACCTTTGAAGGACGTATCTTTTGTTGAGTGCCGAGCAGAGACTCCTTCCTTTGATGGTATCAGGGAAATCAGGGATGTTTTCCAGCTGTCAGCACCCATTTTGAGACATTTTAGAGCAGGTAAGCGGACACTTTTCACAGAGGGGAAGCGATCTGGCACTGGGCCTAATTCCCAGATACACACTTAAAATGGGGCTCTTAAGGTTTTGGCTCCAGCACATCACTTTGTCTTTTACGTGACTCTCCGAGGCCGCCAATGTAACCGAGGGTAACCTCGTGCATTCGGCTGAAGGTGTACGTACGTGGATCCCAGATAAACATCAATAGCTGTGGAGCAGCCGACCATTGTGGGTGACAGAATAACAAATTGAAGCTGCCTCCTGTGAAGGGGGGGGGGGCTCAGATTGTGGCATGAGAGGCTTACTTACCTGCGCACCCGCCGGTGACCTCGGTGCTTGGTCTCCCTGCCTTTGACGTGTCCATTCTTCTCCACGGCATCCGCCTCCACATCTGCTGGCCTCCCCTTCTTTTCCACAGCATTGTCCACTTGGCAGGTCGACGGTTCAGAGCTGAAGGGAGATAAAACAGCCATTTATTTGCCTGCAGTGCCAAAGTATCCCTCACAATGCATCTCCCCTCTCGCAGATTTAAAAAATACAGTCTTTGTATAGCAGAATATCTTGAAATGACAAAAGTCTGCTGAAATATTCCAGCGGGAGAGAAAGGCACCCTGGGTATTGTCCTCGTCTTGCAAGAGTGTAATAGTGGAAAACAAAATCATTCATTTACTTTAGTGAGCCAGTTCGACATATACGGAGAAATGAAGCAGGATTACAAGTCGTAAGGAGTCCCCAAGGACACCTAGAGGCGCAATTAGCAACATGTTTAAGGGCTAGTTACAGCTAGCAGGTGCATGATAACAAAGTGAAACAAATAACCGTAGTCAGCCACATCCCCAAGAGTAACCTGTTATATATGATATGAGGGAAGTCACAGAGGGAGTCATGCCGTACCAAGATGGGGATCTGCGTGTTTATCGAAAAAATGTCAGCTGTAAGAAATCCACAAAGTTGCATGAAATGGGTACAGCTAGCTTTAGCATTAATTTACCTCAGTGGGAAAAAATGCTATAAAATGACAAACACATTTCACTCAGAAGCCAGTTATTTTTGTATTATTCAAGCTGGTAGCAGCAACACTGCTTGAGGACATGTCAAAGATGATTTCCGTAGATCCCTTACAGAAAGTACTTGATCAGAAATAACCGCCCTCAAAAATGAGTTAAATTTAAAGTTACATCACAGCACAAAGCCAACCGTTTTTCAAACCAAGCCTTTAATTTTCCACTAATCAACAGATTTATTTATAAAACCACCCAAGTGTGTCAAATGATGTTATGCTATTTTTACTATAGCAATTGACTTAAAATAACGTAACATTATTAGTTCAGTAATACAAGACTTTGACAGGAGCAACATTACGGTAGCGTTTCCATCATAAGTTATTTGTTTGATGTTCTAAGCAGGGAGTATACCCACACCTCTCATAAACAGTTTTTTTCCCATAATCCCTTGCAGACCTCCATAAATTTGGAGGTCAAATACAGCAGCCATTGAAATGAGCTGTCAATTGAAAAGCATCTCTTTACATGCCTGAGTTCCTTTGACATTTCCAGAATTATTTTTGCAACTCTGGGTTGTCAGATATACCATGGTAGCTTGGCAAGGGCAGCCCGAGTGTTCAGAAGCAGTGGAGTCTGGCCGGATGAGGAAGCCCCCTCTTATGGCCAGATCACAGCTAAACTTATGAGTGTTTTATGTACATATACATTTATTGTACAGTATTGTGTATGTGTACTTGTATACTTTAGTACACAAATGATCAGAAATACAGAAATCACAAGGCTGCATTTCTCATTTCCGTGAGAGCCAACTAAATAATTAGGTCTTCTGTTTGAGAAAACTGCTAATCAACATGATGGTTACATTATTTACAGTTGGACATATAAATTGGCCGTATTTAGAACATGAATAAAATGCAGCCTTGCTTATCAAACTGTCAAAACAAATATATCAACAGCCAAGGTACCAATAAATTACATTCAGTTGAGGGCTGAAGGATATTAACTGATTGTAAGCAATGTCCATAATATCATGCTTGCTGTTCTTCAGCGTTTTGATTGGCATATAGTAAATATGGGTATTGCAGGTCTCATTTAATAATGACGTTTTTGGTTTGGTTCTTAGGGGGGGTATTAGGTTGGGTAAATATCTTTATTTTAATATACTAGAGGCCCTTATATTTTTTTATGATATATATCCACACTGGGGCGGCAGTGGTTAGTACTATTGCCTCATACCTCTGGGATTTGGCTTTGCGCCTCCACCATGATTCTGTGTGTGGAGTTTGCATGTTCTCCCCGTGTCGTCATGGGATTTCATCTGGCTTCTCTGGTTTTCCCCTCAGAATCCAAAAACATGCTGAGGTTCATTGGGGGTGCTAAACTGCCCATAGGTGTGTGAGTAAATGGTGTGTGAATGTGCCCTGTGATGGGTTGGTGCCCCATCCTGTGTTGTTCCCTGCCTTGCGCCCATAGGATCCAGACCCCCCACCAACCCATCATATGACAAGTGGTTTCAGAAGATGGATGGATATGTCCACACCATTTTCATATGAGTCAGGTGTGACCTTGTTAAGGGTTAGGGGTTACAGGTTAGACAGTTGGAGAAAAGATCTCAAGAGCTATACCTGACACATCATTCATCTTATTTTAATTGGTTGATTATATATTGGTTATCTCATGGGTCCATTGACCATTGGGACCCCCATATTCAGCTGTGATTTGGAGTGTGGACAGATGTGGCCATTTGGGTTGAGGAACTGAGAGATCTGTCTGTGTAACAATGTTAGTATTGTGCAGACTGCTGGTGTAATCCTGGATCTGGAATAGCATCAGTGGCAGCAGTATTCATTAAGCAACAAAGAATATATCCATCCTTTAATTCATTCATTTTGTGATCCACTTATCCTATTCAGGATCACAGGGGGTCTGGAGCCTATCCCAGAAGCTATGGGTACAATACAGGGAACAACTCAGCATGGGACACCAACCCATGGCAGGGCACACACATCATTCATAGACACACATTCACACCTAAAAAAGGCCTCAGACTTCCCATGGAACCTCAGGTTCTGGCATACTGTTGTTGTTTTTTTATATACCTGCCTTGCATCCTGCCTCCCAGAGCCTGTTGTAGCAGAAATGTTTATGAGTTACTGCTGGATCAAACTAAGGTATGTAAGAAGCCAACAAGGGCACCGATTGCTAATTTGAAAACCCATTTGCAGGATTACCTTCACACCGTGGGGAATGAGTTCACATCTCACATCTGTCATAGGTGAAAGCACCCTTTAATTGTGTTCCCATCCCTTTGATGGCATCATTCTGGAATCTCTTTGTTCATGAGCGCAATCTTTTCAGTCTGTTTGCTTTTAAAATACAAACATGTCAAAACAACTGCAAGCATCACCCTTGTGTCATAATTAGCTTTCTCTCTTCTAATTAAGTACCTTGTGACCTCGCCTACGTTACACCTACATTTGCATATGCATTAAGGTTGTTTACATAGACAAGAGGGCTCTGGAGGACATCAGAGGGGTCCTCTCCAGCGGCGGCTAATTCTCATTGACGATGCTCCACATGATTTGTTAATATCCCGCTGCACATCTCCATGATCTCTAACAGCTTTTGTGAACTCCATCTGAGACTTTTGAGACATTCCGAATCTCGAGATATGTTTAGATGCTGCAGTCCGAGTACGTAATTTGCATGAAGTGCTAAGCATCCTTATATTAAAGCAGGTAGGTCGTCTTGGTAAATTACTGATCATCATGACAATATTTTCACATTGTGTGAAAAGAGCATGATAATTCGAACATTAGAATCTGTACTTATCAGGGATGGATCTCTGTTTCATTTAGCTCTAATATTAAATGTTTATTTCTATATCCACAAATAGAATGTCCTTCATATAGTTCAATTTACAATTTAAAATGATTTCGATGGTGATGGGTTTGCGTGTTTCTTGTTGGTGGAGGGTAGGTCTTTAGTGTCCTGGAGGGCATGTGCCAGTCACAACAGGCCAAGAGTGACCCCATCCCACCGCGAGAATGTCGACACAGTGATGAGCAGGCAGTGGGAGGCTATCAGGGAAGCAGACATGGGGATTTACACACCCATGGAGGGTCTGTGTGTTATTTGGGAGCATGCAGCCTGAAGATACTTACTCTGCTGACATTTACACCTTTACTGGTGGAAAAACACTCACAGACACACAAATAAATAAACACAAAAGTCCAGACTTTCGAAAAGTGAATGCATCACGAAGGGTGAACAGTACCATGCTTTCCCATGTTATATAAATCCATGTACACTACTGGAAACAGCACTATAGATTAATTAAATCCCAAACAATCTCATTCACAGCACAGATCTCTTGTTGCAGCTGACTTGTATCTGTGTGTGACTCTCTCCAGCCAAGAACCCTAAAACAATACATACACAGTATGCGGATTTTTATTTATTTATTTATTGGGGGGGGGGTGGTTCATGTTTTGTTTTGAGCCTTTGTGGTGTCGCTGCTTTGGGCCGTCTGTCCACTCAGCAGATACCTCCCAGCTCTTTGTGAGTGTCTGGCAGCTTGAGAGCTTCCTTGATGAGAGCTCTAAATGAAATCGATTTCTCCATCACAGATGCACTTTCCTCAGATCAAACTGGGAATTTACGGCGGAAATTTTCAGGCCATGGCGGCCTGGATTTATCTCTCGGCTGTCTGTATCTACTGTGCCTGTGAAAGATTTTGGCCCACTGGGATTGTTGGGAAGACATCGGGAGAGTGTTTGTGAGAATTAAGCTAGCAATAAAAAAGAACAAACATCCGTGATGTAGGGGATAATAAAATGAGAATGTATGTATCAATTATGCCAAACACTTCTGTAATCATACAATATGACAGAACTATGTAAGATAACTTATTTAGCCAGCATAACTGGATTGATTCAACAATATATGTTCTATACTGTAAACTTCTATTTGCAAGGTTGTAGAATGAGACATAGACACGCACACACACAGACACACACACAGACACACACACACGCACACACACCCAGGAGCAGAGCAGTGGGAGGTGTGAGGCTATCATTCACTTCCTGAATTCATCCTGACAAAGTGAACTTGTAAATATTAGATCATACAAGCGATGGTGTGAGATGAAATGAAGATTTTCTTGTTTTGGTTTTGATCTGGATTCGGGTGAAGTAATTGCTGGCCCTATGTGAGGTTTTCTCCATCTGCTGCCTTCTAAATGGCCTGCTTACCCTGCCAATTACCCATTCTGTTTGACAAAATGTCCAGAGATGGGGTTTGTTTGCAGAGAGCCTTTTGAGGGGGAGGTAACCCATAAGTGGTCAAAAGAGTGAACTCTCCTTCAGATCCGCAATCTTACAAGACTCATTTTACCTCTGCAGAAGCTGGACAAAGATCTTGCTTTTCCTGAATCCCAAAATG